GATGCACTTAAATTTGTTGTTTTCTTTACACAAGCCCGATAGGATGACCCTTGCAATTCATTCTATTAAATTTTCCTGGTGGAATTTCCCATTATAAAATAGTAAAATATTTGGCCAGGTTTGCACTGAAATGCATTGAGTTCCTTTCCTGTTCTTTCCGTTTTCAGTATTCATGCTCCAGGCTTTTCATACGATAGTCTCCATTTTGCAATCAGGCCCTCTCTTTTCGCGTTTTGAAAAATCGCGCTCTGATTTTCTGCACGGTAACTTCTAGCCTTGAGTGCGTTCAGCAAAGAACCGGGCCAGTGAGTGCGTTCAGCAAAGAAGCGGGCCAGTGAGTGCGTTCAGCAAAGAAGCCCGGCCAGTGAGTGCGTTCAGCAAAGAAGCGGGCCAGTGAGTGCGTTCAGCAAAGAAGCGGGCCAGTGAGTGCGTTCAGCAAAGAAGCAGGCCAGTTTCCGATGAAAGGCCTATAGCACATTCCGTTGATTGACACTACGCCTGAAAGAGAGGTGGAAAGTATTCACCACCCTGTTATAATGATCTTCTAGCCCTGCAACAGCACTAGGTATATGTACAGTCATGTACAACGGCATTGGAGTAGAAATCGTCAAGGCAACGGGTGGGAAATGCAAAACACGTTTTGAAAGCTCTCAGCAACCACTGCACTCCTGTAGAAAGCCACGTTTGTCTTTTCACGCTCCATCTCCTGTTCGCAGCTAGCTGGTCGTCGGAGCTAGCTGGTCGTCGGAGAGTATCAGTTTTCTGTTCTTGTTTGAACTCAACTGCCCGTTCTCGGTCTTTGTGTGCCTCACTGATCAGATACGGGGTTGAGAGCAGTTTCTTCTGAAACTCCTCCGAGTCGTAGTGTTTCATTTTGCTTAAAGGGGTACTCCGGGATTTTTTCGGTGGTGTGTTCTCTTCATGGGGGCCTTATATGGCCCCCAAAGAAGGGGAATCGCGATTACTAGACCCAAAAGTCGATATATATGAAGCCGGGGAGGGCCAAGTTTGTCTCCTCTTTTGATGGTTTTGATGACGTCACGTGTGATTAGTATTCAAATTCTCTGCATTTGAAGATCTTAGTTGTTTGAATTTTCTGGTGATGAAGAAAGGTGACATTGTTTGGTCAACATTCCCAAGCTTCACAACTGCGACCATACTCTAAGGAACCTGAAGGACCTCCTGAGGTGCCCCTGGTAGAAGCGCAGCCTGATGAGGGCCAGGAAATTGGAGCGGACGACTTCACTAGTCGACAAGGAAATAACGATTGGTGTTCCTGCTAGAAATGTGGGGTGATGCAGAGGGCAGTCGATTACCTTCGCTGTCGAGAGAGCGCTGCAGCTGTTAGCATTGACAGCCCTTTGACATGCGTTACACATCACCCCGACTTCGCGTCAGCTTGTCTAAACAAAACTGTTCTGACCATATGCCTCACGGCGTATAGAGAATTTCGGGATCCACGTACTCGGACCAGTGAAGTCATCCGCTCCAATCTCCTGGCCCTCATGAGGCTGCGCTTCTACCCGGGGCACCTCAGGGGTCCTTCAGGTTCCTTAGAGTATGCCCGCAGTTGTGAAGCTTGGGAATGTCGACCAAACATCGTTCTTCATCACCAGAAAATTCATACAACTAAGATCTTCAAATGCAGAGAATTTGAATGCTAATCACACGTGACGTCATCAAAACCATCAAAAGAGGAGACAAACTTGGCCCTCCCTGGCTTCATATATCGACTTTTTGGGTCTAGTTTTCGCGATTCCCCATTCCTTGGTCTTTTGCAGCAAGTGGCACACGCTTCGGCACGACAACGTCACATGCTAATTGCGTGAAAAAGTCATCATTGTAGACCAAAAAATGCAGTGTGGTTTCGTACCGTCTTGTACTGAGATATGCACGGCAATTTGTACTGTGATCTTTACGTAGTGTGGTTGTGGCCTAAGGCCCCGGATTATGAGCAGACTATACAGGTGGAATCATGATACTTCAAACCCCAAAATGCAAGGAAACCCACAACACATTATGTATGTCAAAATGCTCGCATTGTCCCGCAGAGTTGCGCTATGCACCTTAGACACAGATGTCATGGATGCTGAACTGACCAGTACAGCCTGCTTGTGCACTCTGAACTGATTTGTATAGTGTACAGTGTACAGTAAACTTTGAATTACACTTTGCTAACTTCGCATTATCAGCACAATCCCACACATTTTCTATGTACGTGGATTCTGTGGGACTTCTAATTAACCGGACATACCCGGTTTGAGGTTCGAATTATCATACATGGTTATGTGGGAAACGTATGGATGGAAATCAATCCTGGAAGCAAATTCTAATTTTAAAAGCGGTATGTTCGAATAAAGCCATATTTGAAGTATCAGGACTCTACCTGTAGTTGAACTCGGATGGTGGGTCAATTTAATTATTTAATGGATGAAAAAGGAGAAGAAGAAAAATGATACGTGTAGTCCTAGTGTTTATCGGTATTTGACACTACTATTTGTACATTCTAGAGCTGCTCAAGAACTCACCTGCATTTCAAATATCAAAAGTCTGAAAATTTGTTTTTTGTTAGTGCCTTGTACTTGTTGCAATGCACTGAATGCTTGATACCGCACGTCGGTCCGCTAGCTTGCTCCTTCACCTAAATGCAATGGTCCGGCATTACAAGGCAAAACCAGCTCGCACACCATCAACCGCACATGCATACTCACCCATGCACACACACACACACACACACACACACACACACACACACACACACACACACACACACACACACACACACACACATACACCACACACACACACATACACACACACACACACACACACCCATGGAGTGCACTCTTTTGGACCTACCAATGGTGAGGAGGGGAGCAAGTGACAAAATTGTTAAATAGTGGAGGGGATTTCCACGTGGAACTTAGCAGAGGGTCTATGCACTTTGGAAGCATGTATGTGGTGTTGTGTCTGCACGTTGCAACGAATTCGTGCCGCGAATTCAGCAGAGTGCTCTTGTCTGCAGTGTGATATCCAGGTTCTCCGCCAGGCACAAGTTGCAGCCCTTGGAGGCTGGGCTGTATGAGCTGGCCCTCTTTCTCACTCTCCATTTGATGCTGTAGTCTTTCCCTTTGTTTTTCAACGACCATATGTGGCTCGAGAGCTCTGTGTTGTGCTGATATCCTACATGGCGCATTGAAATCTTGTGGTTGTTATGCTGTACCTTGAATGGTGTCTCGGAGAGGCCAATATAATATTTCTCCTTGTTTTCGGCGTTCACTGCTGCTTCATACACGACAAATACTGATAGGCACGAGTTGGCCTGCATCAGCCATTCTTATTTTTCCTTCAATTGCAGGGCTTTTCTGCGTTGAAAAACAAAAGGAAAAGACTACGGCATCAAACGGAGAGTGAGAAATAGGGCCGGCTCATACAGCCCAGCCTCCAAGCGCTGCGACCTGTGCCTGGCGGAGAAGAGCACCCTGCGTCGCGAAGTGCAGGCACAACCCCAAACACATACTATTACAGAAATCCAGCACGCAACACCTGAATTATTGCACCATCTATAAGGCTAGTGCAACCATCGCACCCAGCTGTAACTCCTCAGACTTCACTGGCTCTGCTGTAGTACAGAAATCCAGCACCCAACACCTTAATTATTGCACCATCTATAAGGCTAGTGCAACCATCGCACCCAGCTGTAACTCCTCAGACTTCACTGGCTCTGCTGTAGTACAGAAATCCAGCACCCAACACCTGAATTCTCGCACCACCTAAAAGGCTAGTGCAGCCATCACACCTAACTGTAACTCCTCTGACTTCACTCTTCCATATGGTGCAGTGGTATGCGCAGTAGATTTCCAATCGAGAGGTTGCGGGTTCAATTTCCGAAGATTATGGTCGCACACGTCTTTCTTCTCTTTCTCATTCTCCTAGCTCTTTCTTTCATTCTCCTGGGTGGTTACCAACAGCCAGTGTATGCCGGAGTATGTGGTGTGGTGTGTGTCGAAAAAGAAAAAATTGAAAAAATTGAAAAAAATGAAAAATAGGGATTCATTGGCCAGAAAAAGCCACTTCAATCAGCTGTGTAGTGGATACCAGGCTGAAAATTAGTGGCGGTCAATTCATGCACCTTGCAAGCTGTTGAATGGTGTAATCCCAGCACAAGTTGCTATGTCTAACATAGCTGTTCGCTATCATCGCTTCCGCGATGGGCAGGTCTGAGGTGTATGTATGCATTGTTGTGAAAGTGGACCACAACGATAACTGTCTAACAGGCTTAATCTTATCGTGCACAAAATCGCCTCATTCTACTACAACTTACAGATCCTGTGTGATATGCAGCTGGTCCAGGACCTTGCTGCCTTTGCTTGGCATTAAGATTACGTGAGTAGCTGTTGGAAATCTTCATGCTGTAGCCAGCAGGATCTTTATTCTTGTATGTGTTGAGAGGTGGTAGGCCATACCTTCCTGGACCAGGGCCCTGAAAATAGTGCATCAATATGCGCATGGACACACATGCACACACGCACGCACTCCCACACATGTGCACAGACACAGACACAGACACACCGACACAGACATACATACACACCACACACGCACCACACGTACACAAACACGCAAGCACACACACGCACACACACACACACACACACACACACACAAACACACACACGCACACACACACACACACACACACACACACAAACACGCACAAACACACACACACACACCGTGACATAAACACACACACACACACACACACACACAAAAGCACACAAGCACACAAGCACATATACCCCAATCCACATAAAGATACACTCACACAGATGTGTTGTACGAGTCCTTGGTCACTACCAGAGATCTGGTACAACATTGGTCACTACCAGAGATCTGGTACAACATTGGTCACAACCAGAGATCTGGTACAACATTGGTCACTACCAGAGATCTGGTACAACATTGGTCACTACCAGAGATCTGGTACAACATTGGTCACTACCAGGGACCTGGTACAACAGTGGTCACTACCAGGGACCTGGTACAACCTTGGTCACAACCAGAGACAGGCGCATAGCCCGCATGGGGCCCGGAGGCACGTGTACCCCTTAAAAAATAGGACCTAGATCCAGCATGCACATAATGACCATGAATAGAGAGGTTAAGATGCACGTTATTTCCGACGTGATGCGCAATTTCACGTCAAATTTGGCATAAAATTCCAAATTTCTACTTGAGCAGCAGGTCACTGGCGTTGATTTTTCGACTTGCGAGCCAAGTAAAGCGAGCTGAACTTTCGCGTCACGTCAGAAATAACGTGCATCTTAACCTCTCTAGTGACATGCACCAGCCACCTTACACATATGCGGCCATGCACCCCCTGAAAGAGGTAACAGCTACTGTAAAACCGGAAAACTTCGGTGGAGATTTATCCTCGGGAACTTCAGTACAGGTAATTTTTACCTGAAATAAACTCAATTATTATCAACCACCAAACCACACCGTTGTACTCTCCAGCCGACCACAACACGTTGCCACAGCACACCATCAGCAAAACGACACTTCAGTTGGCACCCTGCTCCTTCAGACAGCAGCTGTTTCGATCCGCATCAAGATCTCGTCAGTGAAGGTTGGTAATGTAGAATGGCTAACAGATAGTGAACTTCACCCTTTTGTAGCAAAAACAGGGGAAACACAATGGAGCATCTTAGGCGCAAAGATTAGGGCTAAGCAAAAGAGATACTGATAGACTACACCGAGGATACTAGTAATATGAAGGGTGTTGCTACTTGCTACGCTGTGCCATCTATCAAAGTCACACCTGCCTATCGCTACATGACTGTACTCTCACTAACACCCTTCATATTACTAGTATCCTCGGTGTAGTCTATCAGTATCTCTTTTGCGTAGCCCTAATCTTTGTGCCTAAGATGCGCCATTATGTTTCCCCGTTTTTGCTACAAAAGGGTGAAGTTCACTATCTGTTAGCCATTCTACATTATCAACCTTCACTGACGAGATCTTGATGCGGATCGAAACAGCTGCTGTCTGAAGGGGCAGAGTGCCCACTGAAGTGTCGTTTTGCTGATGGTGTGCTGTGGCAATGTGTTGTGGTCGGCTGGAGAGCGCAACGGTGTGGTGTGGTGGTTGATAATAATCTAGACAAGGCCGAATGCTGATGCTTACCCCTCTGGATTAAAATAAAACTCGACCCAAAATTCAACAATGCACACAGTGTGCAAAATGCATTTTCGGATCTGGAAAACTGGTTTACCGAAATTTTCGCTCTACCGAACTATTGATTTTGGGAAATACCGAAAACATTACACCACCGAACATTCCCGGTTTTACAGTACACCCTAAGAGACATGGTATAAAGGATCACTGCCAGAGACATGGTATAAAGGATAGGATCACTGCCAGAGACATGGTATACAAGATCTCCACAGGAAAGGGAAAGGATATAAAAAGGAATCTCTGGAAGACGATTGGTTACTGAACACACCAGCAGTCACTGAAGACTTCTGGAGGTATTATTGCCAACCCAGGTCATAACACCCCCAGCCCCCTCAACCCATGGACAACAATATGATTGAGTGGTCACTTGCAACTGAACGCCTTTCTATCAGCAGGGGTTGTTAGGTATACGTATCAGCTGAGGTGCTAGCACATACTGCAGCAATGTTATCCACGATGTTTGACAGCCGGTCCCCACCCCTGTACCTCCCCTGATCCCGATCCCTGCTAACACTAAACCCAGTAGTCATGACTAACCTCTTTTTCCCCATCACAGCAGTGATGTTTTCGGTTACCCAGGATTGCCACTCGGGGTGCTGAAGTAATGTTGGTAATCTTATGTCCAATCAGATCAGGCAACTTGTAGCCTGCCGGGCCAGGCGCTTCAAATTTAAATTCTGCACACAGTCACAGCATACCAGCATACAGAGTAACAAGAACACACTACAGTCGACAACTGTTCTGCATCACACAGCCCTGGCTCTCTTTGGAAATACAGTGTACATGTAGTGAATGCATCGTATCAAGCCAGCCTAAAGCCTTTGTGATTAGCCCTATTCCTCATGAAATTGCACTTCTACTGCAACACTCGCACACACACACACACATACACACACACACACACACACAGATACACACACACACACACATACACACACACACACACATACATAATTATATACAATGTACATAGGCAGTTGTCTAAGATCCTCAGGCTGCGTATTGCTCTCTATCCAGTGTATGTACATACATACACAAATACATGTACATTTATTTATTTATAATTATTATTATTTATTTATTACAGCATCTCATAGCACAGTGAGAACACCGGCCAATGCAAAGAGAGAGGGTGTTAGCCAACCACGGCAAGGAAGGGAGAAGGGGAGGAGAAGAAAAAGGAACCGGCATGGATAAGCAGTGATTGCAACAAAATGAGAAACACAAAATCAAAGTCAAGGCGCGACAAGGCTCTTAAAAAGGCGGAGGGAAGAAAGGTCCTTAGCTTCTTGGGGAAGTGCCAGCCACGCAGAGTACGCAGTGAAAAAGGGAGAGTGAAGTAGAAAGGAGGACTTAGGTTTCGGAAGGGAAAGGGAGTTTCTTGTGCTACGGGAAGAGAACCAGTTGAAACAGTGGAGGTGAGGTGGACACAGATTGAGTTTGAGAGAATGGATAAGGGTGACAAGATGTGAATTACGTCTCTTAGACAAAGGGGTAGTGTCAGCAAGGGCATAAAGGGTGGAAGATGGAAGCATGCGGGGTTTTCGGAGGAGGATTTTGAGAACTTTTTTTGTGGTGAATTTCGAGCTTGGCAGCACGGGTTGTGGAAATTCCAGCCCAAGCAGTGTCTGCAGAATCAAAAATGTGGCGTAGGTAAGCTGAGTAAAAGAGGAGTTTACAAGAGATTGGGAGATGGTAACAGGGAGAAGAGAGGATTCCTAAAGATGAACTTGATCGTTTACATATGTAATCGATGTGGGGTTCCCATGAAAGGTTAGAGTCAATGAAAATGCCAAGATGCTTATGGCTGGAGACTATGTCTATAGGCTGGGGGAAAGTGGGATGGAGGAGGGGCAGAACATCGGGCTGAGAAGGAAAAAGCATGATTTTAGTTTTAGACAGATTGGGCGATAACCGCCAAGATGACATCCAGGAAATTACTCTTTGAATCCCGTTAGCTAGGTTACTCATCAGGCCAGTGATGTTAGGAGATGCCCGTAGGAGCGTTGTGTCGTCTGCGAACAGTGATGTGCCCGGGCCAGCTGCGGGCATATCATTGACGTATAAGATAAAAAGAAGGGGGCCGAGGATGGAACACTGGGGAACTCCGGATAGTACTGTTGTGTCGGCTGAGGACGTCCCATGTACCGTGACGTACTGCGTTCGCCCAGTTAGGTAAGATGTCAGCCATAGCAGGGGATTGCCGTCTACAGTAAATGATCCACGAAGCTTGGCCAAAAGCCCCCGGTGCCAGACGGTATCGAAGGCCTTGGCAAGATCGAAAAAACAGATCCCGACTAGATCTCCAGCATCCCGATGTCGACACACTAATTGCACCAGGCGCGTCAGCTGGAGGGTGGTAGAATCGCCTCTACGAAATCCGCACACACATTCATACTTAAACAAACACAAAGCGGAGTTGTCGTTGACTTGCGAAAGTGCTAAGCCCACGAAGAGAAGCCTGCGACACAAGTTCACAGTGGTGGGAAAACTTTTCTTTTTTTTAGTGTAATTCTGAGTTTCAGTTTTATGACTATTGAACCACCATCGTGGATGCTTTGGCTTGTTAGATTTCCTCACACTTGCACCTTTTTTCTCATTGTCCTTGTTCATTTGCTCTTGCCTGCATTTCACCTGACGGTAAGGCTTGAAAGTTTACCAAACTTTCAAAATTTTGGTGAAGAATCTGAAGTGTTTCTAGTTCCACATACACCGACATACCGACATAGACACAGACAACGGAGGCAGGAGCACACAAAGTGAGGGGTAGTAGACCGCAGCCAGATGTGACTAAAAAAACTGACTGGTGAGACTCAAAAACTGACTAAAGAAGTCAGGCAAAAGAACAGCAACAAAAGAAAAAACATCGGACATTATTCGCAAGAGGAAAAATGTTGTTCGGCGAGAAATCATTTCTCGCCTATCTCGCTCCACTGGGCCGGTGAGAAATATAACGTCTTTCTTGTAAGGGAGCATCTCATCAGTTCAATTTTTTTTCTAAATGTAAGGCCACCATTATTTACTTCTATTTTTCGCGCCAGTTCAACTTCCAGAATCATGCGAGAGGTGGAAAAAGAATAAAAAGTTGAAAAAATAAAAATAAAAAAGCTCATCAGAGGTGTATAGCACTGTATATAGCACAATAGCTCGTGCATGCCATGTACATTCGAATGAAAAATCGTACACGCGTCTACTCGAAATGCGGTACGGTTATTTAAAAAAATGCGAATTTATGAGATGCTCGTCAGTTTGAGGGAAAGTTGCAAACAGGACACGTCTGAAGAAAAATTGACTGTCATCACCACGATTCGAACCAGGGACCCTCGCTTATGACCGGCGATGCTCTACCACTAAGCTATGGTGTAGTGGTCATCCGAGCAGCGATCATTCAACATTATCTCCAGACTTCTATAAGGGGCCGTCTGTAATTACATGTATTTACTTAGAGACGTCTAACAGCCATTTCTGGTGGGTGGGTTCGCCTGCAAGGCGTTTCTAAAAAATACATTTCGGAGTGCATGCATGCATACCGCGCGTGTATGTACATGCAGATGTACAGTAGAACCTGGTGTAAGCGACCTCTAGCTCTAGCTCTCTGCTTTGAATGACCGTTTTCCATGCACGGAGGGCAGTTCTACACATAAACTGCATTGGATACAGCGACCACCTGCCTTGTGCGACCAGCGACCGACTTTTAGTGTGCCAAGTGCCGTATTGGACCTGCAGACAGCAACCAAAAGTGCCATCTTGGCTGTCAGGTTCGACAGCAACAGGGTTGAAGTGCGCTCTGATTCATGTGCATGCAGTCAACAGAAGTGACCAGGGACAGTGCAGGTTGCGCTGCATGCAGTTGAGTGAGGCGTGCTTTGCTGCAGAAAGTATTCTATGCTCCACACCTGTCAATATGAGTACATGGAAGTACAATCATGCATGATTGTACACAATCCGATATGCCACGAATGTATGGGACCTGGTTCCAAAGACCACCTGGCTTCAACGACCGCTTTTGCTTGCACCGTGGGGTGGTGGCTTAAACCAGGTTGTACTGTATATGATGTGGCACTGCTACAGCTAGCTAGTGCAGGAAGTCGTAGAGACGTAATACAGTCTACACTGCACTGCATGGGTCACGGCAGAGTGGCCAGAGAGACTGTTCGCTATAAAAAAGGGTCAATTTTGTATGGGTTCAAACAGGGACATGGACAAGGGTTCGCTATATCACGAAATTCGCTACAGTAAAACCTGGTGTAAGCGACCTCTCGTTTTAGCGACCACATGCTCTTAACGACCGTTTTTCTATGCACAGACAGTTCCACACAGACACTGTGGTACCTGGTTCTAAAGACCACCTGGTTTTAACGACCGCTTTTCCTTACACCGTGGGGTGGTCGCTTAAACCAGGTTTTACTGTATATGCGAGTTGATTATGAGTGGAATCGTCTGTACACTGTACTGCATATGTGTGCATAGTGTAGTGGTTATTATGAGTGGTATTACCTGCATTTTGGGGGGCGTTTCTGGGGGTGGGTGGGTGGGTCAAGAAAGAAACGCCTCTTAGACGTCTCTAAGTAAATACATGTATTTACAGACAACCCCTTAGATGCTCCCTGCCCATTCTAGCATTTTGTGGCCGAGAATACTGTAAACATTTTTCAGTCTGCAAATTACCTGGTATCTTTGTACAATGACGCATGGAGTACTTAGGACCTCTATCTTCAATTCCTGCATGGTAATCGCCTGCAGTAGCACATACAACGGGTGCATATACACACACCACACACACACGCACACACATGCATACATGCATGCACACAAGCATGGGCATGCACGCTCACACGCAAATGCAAACGTACATACAGAAACATACAGAAACACACACACACATGCACACACATGTACACACACACACACACACACACACGCGTGCGTGCGCGCACGCGTGCACACACACACACACACCACATCCACACACATAAGCACACACAATAACTCAATTACACGGTGAATTATTAGCATAGGACTATAAAGAGCCATGGGGAGAACATATGGAAAGGATATGATTACTTGTGAAATACTCAACTTTCAGACCAGTATCATCTCATGCAACTAGGGCTCAAACGGTTACGGTTTTCACCTTAATGTTAAAACTGCTAAGCTAACGGTCGGCTTTTCGGTTACAACCTATAAGCTGCGGCAGTGCGGCGAGTAGCTAGTTTGAACAGTATAGTTCAATGATACTCTTCGGCAATGTAGCATGCTGAATTACTACTCATACATGCACATGTTAGCATGCTCATTCAGGCATATTCACAGACCAGAAGCACTAAGATGGCATGAAGTTGATTCAAATTGTCACGGGTGGTACGATGGATGCAGTGTTCATTTCTTCATGTGATCTTGCAAAAATGGGGTGGGCGTTTGCAGTGGACTTTACGGTACGTATATGGGAGAGCCGCACCCCCACCCCTCTACACAATCCTGGATACGCCACTGTAACAAATCTTGGTACAAATATGCAGTATGCCCATTGAGTGTAAAGGTAATAGTTCACACTTCCAAAGCGTAGCCAGGGATTGTATGCGCTTTGGAACTGTTTTCATTGCCTATTTCCTCATTTCTCTTCACTCTCTTCGCTTTGTTTTCGGTGCCTGTACCTTCATTTCTATTTCTCTTTGCTTGCTGCTGAGGGAACATAATATTATGCTGGTTTGTATTCGCGGATTCCTATGTTGCATGGGCCAAGCGTACTCATCCGGCAGATGTGTGTGGACAATAATAAAAATTCACAGCGAAGAGCCCATCTGGAACAGGGAGAGACACCGGGGTGGGGGTGGGGGAGGAGAGAGAGAAAGAGAGAGAGAGAGGGAGAGATAGATAGGGAGAGAGAGAGAGAGAGAGAGAGAGAGAGAGAGAGAGAGAGAGAGAGAGAGAGAGACAGAGAGAGAGAGAGACAGAGAGAGACAGAGAGAGACAGAGAGAGACAGAGACAGAGAGAGAGATAGATAGATAGATAGAGAGAGAGAGAGAGAGAGAGAGAGAGAGAGAGAGAGAGAGAGAGAGAGAGAGAGAGAGAGAGAGAGAGAGAGAGAGAGAGAGAGAGAGAGAGAGAGAGAGAGAGAGGAGAGTGAGAGAGAGAGAGAGAAGAGAGAGAGAGAGAGAGAGAGAGGAGAGAGAGAGAGATAGAGAGAGAGAGAGGAGAGGAGAGAGAGAGAGGGGAGGAGATGACTCTCTCGCGCTGCGCGCGCTCTAGCATGTGTACATGGCTGCCACTGGGATGTGACGAATGCAAGAGTCACGGGATCTACAGGTTGCATGTCATGTACCTGGGCCAGGCATCCCGATGGCGATATGGATCTGGCATACATCGCTTGGCAAGACTGAATGCTGGCCCCTTTGAGTCACCAGTCCTAGTTATTGTTGCGCCTGGTTTGTACCTGCATGCACATGCAGGTAGCGCAAACACTTTCATGGAATAAATGCTAACTTCTAACAAATCCAAACAGAATACCAGGAACAATCTAGCCGAGGGAAACTCCACATCTCTGATCCTCAGCAGGCACCCATAGCAAGCAACCCCCTCCTCCCCCCCCCCCACCCCTCTCTCCAAAGAAAAACACATGGAAAAAGTTCATAACATTGAGAGCACAAACATATCACCAGCGAAACTTCTCTCAAGTCAAGGGGAATATTGCAGTCTTTATGATAAGCAGTCGAGCAGTCACACACGCATAGGATAAACGCACTACAATGTCCTGGATACATTATTAAAATATCAGGTTGGAGCTACTATAAATTATAGTACTCGTTCATTCAAGTGCACTGTATCACTGCTTTGCACTTTTTATCCCGTTCATCAATTTGACAGATGTCTGTTGGATTAACAGGGATGCTAGACTAACAAAATTTCCAAGCATAATGGTCACTTGCATGTAGGGGAGGTTCATCCAAAATGAAAAATTCAAGCTAGTAGTTAAGCATGCACTATTTGCAATGGTGAATGTCCCAGGTTGATCAGAGCAGCCGTTCCAGAGTTACAGCACCTTGACATTTTCACAAATTCGGTGACACCATAAAGTTTCCTAAGGGTGTGCAGATGGTCCGTCCCGTGAGACTCCTTGGAGATTTATGAAGGTGGAATTGTCTAGTGCTCACTATCGCTGTTCAGTTAAATTCCTTACATCTTGTCGTCGTCGTGGATTAGTCCCGTCCTTCATTGCAAACTGTTCCAAAGCTACGACATTGTTCAGATCGTGTGTAGAGAAGCGTGAGTCAATCTTTCATGGAATGCTATTAAACAAGATCATCGAGGAGAAATACCGTACCATTAACAGCTTGAAGAGACAGCGTCAACATCTCCTGGGGCAACTATATCGAGAACTGACTGCAACACGTATCGGATGGCTGCTAGGTCATGCCAATGAGATGTATCACTGCTAGATGAGGGATGACGGAGCACGGCTGATGAGGAAGGAGAAGGTGCTCACAGAGAGGGAGATGAGGCTTGGCACACCTCAGGCGAGTCCGCAATGTTATTTGACTGGACAAGAGCACAGTATTATCAAGGATCTTCGCCGCAACAACAGTATCACCATTAAGCCCTCGGAGCAGAGCAAGGGTTTTGTTGCGATGGCCACGGATCGCTACATCGAAAAACTTAACAGCATCCTTGATTGTAAAGCCAGCTACGAAGAGTGCAACATTGCAGTGGGTGACCTGGACAGGGAGTCGGCAGGTGTAACAAAAGATATCAAAACAGGAAAAATCTCCCCGTCACTCGCGCGCGCCTTGCCACCGCATAATTCGCGCATGCCGGTGTTCTATGGTCTCCCGAAGGACCATAAAAGTGGTCTTCCCCTGCGACCTGTTTTCTCGTCATATGGTAGTCCTACAAGTAACATTTCGTTACTATTAGAGCAAATACTCAATCAATTGCTTAAGTTTGTCCCAGCGCACTCCACCGCATAATTCGCGCATGCCGGTGTTCTATGGTCTCCCGAAGGACCATAAAAGTGGTCTTCCCCTGCGACCTGTTTTCTCGTCATATGGTAGTCCTACAAGTAACATTTCGTTACTATTAGAGCAAATACTCAATCAATTGCTTAAGTTTGTCCCAGCGCACTTGTCCTGTACTGTCGATTGTATTGCAGCACTGAATGCCACGAGTGATCTTCCGCAGGATTGTATTGTGGCGTCCTTGGATGTAGTATCATTGTACTCCAATATCCCGATCAACGAAAGTGTTGATGCGGCAATTGAGTTACTCGAAGAGCACCGCGCAGAGATTGATATGTTTTCGTTGTCAGTATCAGATATCCACGATTTGCTTTTGTTTGTCCTGAACTCCAATTTCTTCGAGTTCAATGGTAATGTGTACCGCCAGCGACTGGGCTTGGCTATGGGTAACCACCTGGTGCCCCCCATGGCTATAATCTTCATGTCAAGATTGGAGTCGCTCGCACTGTCTGATTTTCCTTTGAAACCACTTCTGTACCTCCGTTATAACCTCCGTTATATTGATGACTGTATTATTATTAGGCTGTTTGGCGTCGCATTGTTCTTACAATTTGTTGAACACCTAAACTCTCGCCATCCGCACATACGATTCACAACGGACTACACACGCTCCGCCAATTCTCACACGATCAGTTATTTGGACCTGTCCATATCGTGCTCAAGTGGTAACTGCTGGATTGGGAGCGGTTTGTCAAGCCGTCTCACAGTGGTGTTCACTTGGCGTACCTGTCGTCCTTGCCGTTGGACACAAAAATCGTCGTAGCAAACAACCAGTTCAGCAGGGCAATCGCCAAATCGACAACAGAAGACGGACGTCAACAAAGCATCGCCAAGATAACAACGCTACTCAAGAACAACCACTATCCCCAATCAGCCATACAACACGCCATACAAAGACACCAATGCACCACATCACAGCGGAGTACCGGCAGTCATCATCTCAGTCAAGCGCAACCGGAGAAAAAGAAATACACATCCATCATCAAGGTGCCATACATCAACGAGAGGCTCGCTAACAATGTCTGAAAACCGTCAGATCATTCGGTAAAGACGTACGTGTTGTCTTCACGTCCGGACGTTCGTTGCGGGACATGTTGGTGTCGTCGTCACTCAGCCGGCCTATTTGCCCGAGAACGGTACAGCAGCAGAAGAAGAAGAGAGGAAGGGGCAGGCCGGCTGAGTGTCGTGGATGTATTGCTGGCCTTCAACGGAATACGTGTATGTCTAAGGATGTTGTGTATTCGTTGAGGTGTGCTGTCTGTGGCGAGGAATATGTCGGTGAGACTGAGTGGACGGTGAGGAAACGCAGCGAGGAGCACCACGGCCAGGCAAAGAATGCCACACAGGGAAAGCCTTGGGGTGAACATTACAGCAAGAAACGCCACATTTTCCCCGAGTCATCTTTGCCATTCTCCCAAGCCTCGATTCTCGCCCAGAGGCAGAGATCCTACGTAGGCCCCCGAATCATGGAGGCCCTCTTCATGTGAAAGAGGAAACCGGCAGTGAATATGGACAAGGGCTGGCGTTTGCTGGGCGATGTTTAGGTGCTTGGGCGGTATTTGTCACTGATATGTTCAGTTTGTGCTTTTTGCAACAGTACATACACGCTTGCTTTTGCTGGGGATGGTGTGATGCTACTGCTTGGTTTTGGGAGATTGTGATGTCCTAGCCTGCTTCGTGTGTTTTTTACTGCTCCTGTTGCTGCTTCTGCTGCTGCTGTTGCTGCTGGTTTTGTTCGCGCTGTCCTTCCCTTTCTTTTGGTGTTATTTGTCTCATCGTTTTGTTAGATATAATAACCATAGTCTTAGTTCTAGATTTACTGTTATTCCTGAAGATGGGCCTGGCCCGAATATTTAGATTTTATTATTTTTGGAAGAATTTGTAGCCAAGAGACCGTTTTCGAGTAGTGGTGTATAACCATGGGAACCATAAATTTGTCATCATTTATCCAGGTCTAGAACATTATGCTTGGATGGGAGAAGATGGGGTACAGCCAACTTCTTTCTGTTTCACTCCAACAACAAAACCCCTGCCAGGTATTGTTCCGGGTTTGCATACTGATAAGGTAATGTCCCAAGCCAAAGTTGGAGAAACATTCAACTCCTTGCCAAATGATGACGCTGTCACGATGTCACAGAATTTAGTGAACACGCCCGGTTGCCATAGCTCCAGAATGGCTGCTGTGTGCTCATTCTGTTAGAGGGAATACGCAGTGCTTGCAGCAGTGTGCATATTGGCGACCTCTAGTCTATGGTAGACCACAGGGTTCACAGAAGCCCATTACATTAGGTTCCCTACCTTGTTCTTGACTTGCTGTGACTGCACAGTGCTACACAGAGCATGGGTATTCACATGACTTTACAATAATGAAGTTTCCATGAAAAAATCTGTTTCATTTTTTCTAAGAAATCCTACGGAACTCAAGGCATCGGGTTAAGAGGCCTGACTAAAGCACATAGCATCACTCAAACTTACTTGGGTCCAGGATGTTTTGCCCTTCCATGCACAGTGATCCAGACAACACAAGTCACGTGACAGTTGCGGTAGTACCAGCATCAACAGCAGTATCGTCAGTTACAGGAACAGTGCCAGCACCGATCGAAACATCGGCAGTTACAGGAACAGTGCCAGCACCGATCGAAACATCGGCAGTTACAGGAACAGTGCCAGCACCGATCGAAACATCGGCAGTAGAATTATAGTTGACGACAGCAGCGACAGCAGCAGTAGTGGCGGTGGTGGCGGTAGCAGCAGAAGTAGCAGCAGCAGCCGCAGCCGTAGCAGCAGCCACAGCAGCCACATAAACAGGAGCAAAAGGAGCAGTGGTGAAGACAAATTCTAATGCTTCAGTGACAATAATTGGAGCTTTGCATGAGCAGATAATACGTTGTATAGCAACACACTAACCAGTACATGTATAGCAACACACTAACCAGTACATGTGTATCAACACACTAACCAGCACATGTATACTAGCAACACACTAACCAGTACAGGTGTATCAACACACCAACCAGAGTACATGTATATCAACACACTAACCAGAATACATGTATACTAGCAACACACCAACCAGAGTATTGTGTAGCAACACACTAACCAGAGTACATGTATAGCAACACACCAACCAGAATACATGTCTAGAAACACACACAAGACACACTGGTTCAGTACATACCTCGTGCCAAGATTCCTGACATTGCCCCTGTCAAACTGGGACTTTGGTATCTTCGGGTTTCTGGCAAAGGAATAAGCTGGTAGCTGGTGTTTATTAACTGTGTGGTTTTTAGTGCCTAACAAAGATGGTAGGGTATACCTGTAAACAACACATGGTACAGTACATGTACAACATGCATCACACACCATCATGACGGCAAGGTTGCACTGAACTGTAGACAATAGCAACGTTCAGCAACGTGAAAGTTCGAACTTTTGGTGGCGGTGATATTTCGCGAATAAGTATTTTACGAAAAGGAAACCTTGTGAGGTTTAGCAACACGAATTTTTATCTTGAAGTTATACGATTTCTAAAGTACCGTACCGTATATGCAGCTCAGTCTCAAGCAGGGGGCTGTAAATTTACTACTCCTTGCCGTCAAGCGCGTACCGAGGAAAGGGAAAATAACTTTCACAAATTGCTGCAACTTCGCGTCCAAGTTGTCGAAGTTTCGAGCTTTGTTTTTGTACTCATTCCCAGACTTGCATTTTCTTTCGAACTTTCGCTTTGCTAAACATCTCTAATAACATTCCCATAACATACCTATTTACTCGACTCAATTTGTGCAGACTTGGTGCATTCACCGTGAAAGTTCGAACCTTTGGTGGCGGTGATATTTCGCGAATAAGTATTTTTCGAAAAGGAAACCTTGTGAGGTTTAGCAACACGAATTTTTATCTTGAAGTTACACACAAGCGGAAAAACCGTCAGAGATCAAATTCCATTACACAGTGTTTCACCGTTCAAGCAACGGATCATCAGATGGATGATCAAACGAAGTATGATACACTGGTTATATACTCAGAAGGTGTGAACTCCATCACTATGGAGTGTGAAAATTATCATTATGTCGGGTTCCGGATGTGACAAGTCCATTTTTCATGATGCATTGTACAGAGTGCCTAGGTGCTAGATGAGGGTGATGATATTGCGGGGTGTGACCAGCCCATTTTTCATGATGCATTGCACAGAGTGCCTAGGGAAAGGTGATAGCGCAGAGTGGTGCCATGCCAGGTAACAGATATAGAGGCGCTACCAAGGCCATGGAATAATCACTGTCCTTATGTGATGGGCACAAAATTTGATAGGACATACTTGCTTTCGTGCCTGCATTTTGACACAATCTCATTTCGCTTGTTTAGCCTAGTGCGGGCGTCGGTTTCGAGGATGTGATACTTCTCGGTAGTGCAGAGGCCACATCTCTTGGACGTGTTATCGAACGAGGTGGCCGTGTCGCGGATCTTCCAGTCAATGACGTACTGTCTGTTGTCCCGCTTCATCGACCAAACATGCTTTGACAACTCGGTGGAATTCTCATAGCGGTCATGCCTGAGCGTAGTCAAATGGTTGGAGTAGCGAGCTCATCTTGAAGTTATACGATTTCTAAAGTACCGTACCGTATATGCAACTCAGTCTCAAGCAAGGGGCTGTAAATTTACTACTCCTTGCCATCAAGCGTGTACCGAGGAAAGGGAAAATAACTTTCACAAATTGCTGCAACTTCGCGTCCAAGTTGTCGAAGTTTCGAGCTTTGTTTTTGTACTCATTCCCAGACTTGCATTTTCTTTCGAACTTTCGCTTTGCTAAACATCTCTAATAACATTCCCATAACATACCTATTTACTCGACTCAATTTGTGCAGACTTGGTGCATTCACCCTCCCCCCCCCCCCCCCACACACACATACACACACATACAAAACACACAAAAACATGACCTCAAACAACAGTGTGGACAATGGTACACTACTGCACAGGTGGTAAGTGAAATCACATCCCAGGAGAGGTGCGCTTGCACTGCACCAACACAGCACGCAACCACACCACCCCCAAAGCAAGGACAGGGCATGCATGCACATGTACGTATACGGGTAACTGCTGTACTGTACGCCTACTGTATCTTGCAGTTACACCATGACCAACAGGGAGTGTTTGGGGGAGATCTAAGTGGCCTGATGCAAAACTCTCATCACAGACAAACTTTTCTTGTTTGAATGTGTTCTTTTCAGATGTGCCCTTGTTCCCGTGAACCGTGTGACTATAGAAGAAGCGTGTGCAAATTGAGTCGGCAAAGAGTAGTAGTGCCGACATTGCACGTATAAGGGCAAGACATACATGTATTATCCACCATTCTTTACGGAGGTGACACAATGGGTGCGTGCGTAGTAAAGCACAAACAAAAGGGTACAGCGAAGTAGTGCAGTCGTGCAGCAACATGGAGGTTTGCAGTACAACGGTACATACTTGTGAAGTCGTACAAGCGCATACTCAAGACAGAAAGTGAATGCTGAACAAGTGAGGCTTCAGGCTTTCCTGGCATGCCAGGGGAATGCACACTTCTCGCTACGTTTTGCTGTAGCTCGGCTGCAGCATTCGTCTGTAAAATCCAGGGTCTCATTTCAGTAATCTCCACTGTGCAAAGAAATTTCCAGTGGCTCGTGTGCTTTGCGTACTCATTATTATTCATTTATATATCCATGTGTCAGGGTACTGCTCTTTGGTATCTACTGAAACTGGGTCACTATTCAAGAAAGGGCTCTAATTGCGCCAAAGCAGACTTCACCGTTCTGATCAATATCCAGCATGATCAATTTTCTGTTCGTTGGCTTTTAAGCATCGCCTTACTACTGGTCTACCCTAGTTCGCACGACATCGGTTACAAAACAAACCTCATTAGTAGACAACGATCCAAAATTCACTGATGCGTGAAAGAGGACATTCAAGTCCGGATAGTGGATAATACTCGTCATAAGACAGCCATTTTGAACCCCCCCCCCCCCTCTCCCCCGGGCTGTCTACTAACGAGGGCAGACCTGTAATATGAGCAGGAGCTTCAGGACAGAGAGTCGTAAATTCAGTACTCTACAGGCTAGGCTGGCATCAGACTTGCTCAGTTAGCGAGGCTTGGGAGCGGCTGGCGAAGTGGTATTTGAATGCATCACCGCCATTTTGAAGTTACTAGCACATGTGCAATGGTATAACATATTTTACACATTTTAAAATGACAAACAGTTCACTTACGATGCCGGGCCAGGTGTAATTTGCGTGGCAGCAATATCTAATTTGGGACTTGCCGGGCGCTTTTCAATGTACTGTGTGTGGTGAGATCCTCTGGGTGCTTTCCGACGGTCACGCAAAGATTCAACCCGTGACAACATCAAGTCCTCTGGATCACTGATGTCCTGCCACTCATTGCTCATTGAGTCACTGCTATATTCCAACTCCTGGCTTGCTTCATAATCTCCTGGACCCGGCGGTGGAGATGATGATGAGGTCAGCCCTTGATCAGCTGGTACTGATGTGTTCATATCTGCATCCTGCTGATCATATTCTGCTAGAGGACTGGAGTAATCTTGAAGTTCTTGTTCTTCTTGCTGCAAGTGCTCCTCCTGCCACGTTTGTTGGTCTTGCTGCCATTGTTCCTCCTCCTGCCACATCTGTTGGTCTTGCTGCAATTGCTCCTCCTCCTGCTGATGATGTTGGCGGTGGTGCTGTTCCTGATCAATTTGTCCATGCTGTACTGGCTGGAGAGAATTCCCATTTTGGCTTTGATCATGCGGAAAGTGGTCAGCATCACCGATCTTGTGAGAAGGCGAGGGTTCAAGTTGGGCAGCCATGTGCTTTGCGCCAGCCTACGACGAACTGTGTCAGTGCGGACTTGAAGAACCTTGCTGGCTGCTGACCGTCTGAGGTGTACTTAAACTGATTCGGCTGCCTCCTAGTGTCGATCCTGCAGGAAATACAAGCATATAGTACATGCAAAGATGTACAGTTACCTTGTACCATGTTTGCAGAGCAGAAAATGATGTTCCACGGTGCACTGATTTATCTAGCCATCATTTTCTCCTTGAAAAGCTACTTCGAAGTAGACTGCTATAAAGTTGTCTATGGGGCTGAGTCAAGAGTAGAAAGAGTGGTTTGTCAACTTACAACCACCCCAATCAGCTCAGTAATATTCACTCAAAGACAAAATACACTGAGATGCTCAGTGAAATGTTATGGTATGGAATCCAAGGGCAAAATTGGCACTGTACCAATTGCCCATCATCAAAATACGCATTCCGATTCAATACGATATGTTTGAAGTTTTGTCGGCGTTGGCCCCGAGACCACACGCCCCCGCACAAGAAATTATTTTCTTTGTGAAATGTCCATATTCACACATACGTATTGCTACATTCAGCCAATAGCTGGTTGACATGACCAAGGGGTTTGCAACTGAATTTTTTCAAGCTAGCATCTCGGGTTGTGCAGGAACAAAATTATACAGTTAGTGGGGTGGTTCAAGGCAGTAAGCACACCAACTTCAAGTTCTCCCTAGAAATGGGAGGGTTTTCTCGAGCTATGATGAACAAACATGTGGCAGATCACTATACTCGGCATATTGCAGTCAAATCTGTTTTAACACCCAGTCCACCGCTTGCTACACAGAAACTCCGGTCTATAGATCTAGGCCATTAGTTTCTACAGACATGTAGATCCTAATGCACGCCTGATGAAACATGGCTTGAGTACCCGAGACGAGAGGTCTTCTACCAGATCGCTGGTGCCTATTACTAAATAGCTAGCATATAGTATCCAACAAAGGTTGATCATCCAAGTCGTGAAAGCAGCATTTCTTTCTGTGTATTTGGTAGAGTAGAACGGACGTCGGGAAAAGCCTATGGTAGTTATCGAACGCGGATCTACATCTACATGTACGTATTTACGATATTTTGTGGAAGCCATACCTCATGGTCACACATATGCAGATTTAGAAATACTGGAACCGTTACCAACTTCTACCAGCTTCAAACCTAGTAAAGCCGGTAGAGGAAAGTAGAATCGACCATTTGGGGTAGAAAATAACGAACACATCTACCGAAACCTATAGACCAAAAACACCCCCCCCCCCCCCCCCCACACACACACACACACTTCCCTGTCGTACTTCGGTTCAGTGTGGTTTACCTATCTACTGTAACCGTTGTAGCTAACACGTAGGACAGATTTCAGTGCACGGGGAGACATGTGACTTTTTCCCCTCCTTCAAAAGTTTGCGCTGCTTTATCATGGCTATATCTGTACACTGCATGTACTGGCCAGTGTTTTTCGCCTTATCTCCGAACCCCTACCCTCCACCATACTCTCTCCCCTCCCTACCCAGGGGCGTCGGAAGGTAATTTAGTGTGGTACGGTCAGCCATCTGAAGTACAATTTGCGCGTGAGGGAGGGGGCGGCTGAGCCGACATTTTTGGAAATTCAGAGCCCAAATCAGTGCATTTTATTGATTCACAGGGTACTTGGGGCAACGAGTGGGTAGCGCGCCCCTGCTACCATGCCTGCTGTCTGAGACCGATACAATGCAGCACTGTGCAGCACTGTGCAGCACTGTGCAGCACTGTGCAGTATAAAGTAGAGTATAACATACGTGATGGGATTATAAACTACATGTATCTGACTTGTACAGGCTAAGTTGCTTATTACTTGCAAAAGTGCTCGATTCCACAGAGCTGCATTTGGCTCCAGCTAGAGCCAAATGGCCATTGTGGCTTGAGCACCCTGCATTACACTAGACCAGTCGACCTTAGCTTTAGATACATGTACACAGTACTGACATTGCATGTACCTAGCCCTACAATGAAGGCAATAAATTACTGATTCTAATTATTATTTACGTCCCTTGAGGCTTGATATGATGGGCAGGCGCGTGCACCGCGCGGTTTTCTTGGAGCCCGGAAACCACCTTTTTGCGGCCAGCGATATTTTTGCTGCATGCGCAACATGCGGTGCGCGTGCACTGTCACAGTGTGCGTAGATGCAATTTTCGTGTGAAAGGCAGGGAACGTGTAGTGCACGTGCCGCTACTGCTGAGTACATGTCAATATCATGTTGCATTCAGGCACAGCCACTACGGTACCGGCGCTAGTGACATGTCCACTCACGCGCGATGCAAATACTTTTTTGCTGGACTCGACGCTGTACAGTGTACGAGACTGTGCTTGTGCGAGGACATCAAAGACAAAGCGCGGACAGTAGGCATGTCGCATATGTCCAAAGTGGAAACAAGTGCTTTCATCTTGGTTTTGAAGTGGGTGCTTTGGTCTTGGACTCGAGTACGAGCGGCTGTCTGTTTTGTTAGTAAAATTACTGTTCAGGTTTGTGGTTTTGAGGACAAAGGCATTGAGTTTTCAGCAGAAGACTTTGTCCGCTCTCTGGGAGAAAAAATACAGCAGCGTCGCACCCGGAACGACTGGAAATTTCTGACGGAGAGTCGGATTCCTCCGCCACCGGCATTGCTGAAGGCGGCAGCCAAGTTGAAGTTTAAGACTGCTTCTTAGACTCACTCACTAGCAAGAGTGTCTGAATTTTCCTTCACTACTTCGAACTACTTGTATAACGTCGGCTAGCCTATTCATTTATCCTGTGTCAGGAAAATACCTTTGTACCACATTTGTTTTGATGGCTCGGTGGGACTGGCAGCCATAACTTTTAAAGCTTCCTTTTAATACTGCTGAATCTGCAGGTAGCTTATTGCAAAATGGCGGTCGAACATTTTTGGAAACCACCTTTTTTTGACCCGGTGCACGCGCCTGACGGGGGTACTAGAAGTACTAGTAGTAGATCTCCATCGTTACACTGAAGTAATAGTTAGGTTCACTGTGTCTAGTAAGTTGGCAACTACAATGCAGTGGCAAAGATAAGACCAGGGCAGGGGCAGCATTACCTAACACCAGCAGAGTAGTCCACTCGGTGTCATTATCATGATTATGAATTTATAATGTATGTAGTAGCTATTAGCTGACAGTCAGTCCAGGACTACCGTGCTAGTACTACGCCTCTGGGCTCCATGATCCAGCCAAACGAGGGTCAGAGGCCACCGCACAGGCCAGGGCACAGCACAGGCGCTGACACCAGCCCGCTGCCGGGTCGTAGATGCAGAAAAGAACTACTAGTAGTACAGGGCCTGCTGGAGAGCCGGGTCAGCCGGGTCACGCGCCCGGCTGGGGAACTGCACGACCTGGCTGAACAGATAACACCGGGTCCAGTCTGACCCGGCTGAAAAAATGTCTCAAACTGACAATGGATTCCTAAAATACGGGTGAACTTTTACGACTCGCGGACCCCATCTGTTGCAAATCTAGCGCAACCGTACACCATGGTAGATCTACACACTACAGTCTACCACAGTCTACAAGCGACAGAAACTCGGCTAGGGTCAACTGGGGTCAACTGGTTCGAGCGCGATCTGGCCAGCGGCGAGCAGGAAGTCAGGACATTCAAAGTCGATGGGGCAGGCAGTCAAAAGCGTAACTTTGGCGGGGTGCTTTTGACACAGTGGCAAGTTTTCAGCCGATTGGTGATTTGGACGATGGAGCCCGCAGCGAAGAGAAAAAGAACTCACGCTTTCCAAGACTCTTGGAAGAAAGGTCGACCCTGGCTGGACTACGACCATGTCAGTCTACTAGTATCCATGTCATGCGCTTTGTGCAAGACGCATTTCCAAAGGAAGACGAGCGGCGGTGGATTTGGTCGCGAGGAAGCAGCCACTCCACAAGGTGCTGCAGGCACCCCCCAGTGCTCTAATAAGTGAACATGTTCGTCCTGCTAGGCTGCTACTACTTAGTACTAGTACTAGCACTAATTAGAAAACAGAATACCTTTTTTTTTTAATTGTTAAATCAGAATCCAATGGAACTGCTTTACATTCTTCACGTAATGTCGTTTACCTTCTACGTTTGCGGACTTTGATCGTTCGCCTTGTTCTCTAAAATGTCCGATTTCCGGCACTAAATTCGCCTTTCTGTTTTCCTGCGTTTTGAGCAGGCTTTTTGGTTGTTTTTCTGCCGGATAATCTGACCCGGCTGGCCTGCATGCGCCAGGTACACTCTGACCGGGCTGTGTTGAATGTCTAGAGCAGGCCCTGAGTAGTATCCACCCAACAAGCCCGGAACTACAAAACACTATGCCTTGGAGAATAGGATTTACTTATAAGCTTACCAGCTAGCTGGTAGTCGCAGTTGGGCTCAGCAATACTACCAGATGAGCGGCAATTTTCCAATGCTGGTGGCCACGACACCGCCTGGCTAAGCCTGGCGTTGTTCCTACCTAATCACCGCTGCTGCGTTGGCCACTAACAGGTACTTACCAAACTTGGCCGGGACGTCGACGGCTCGCATCATATCACAAGCGGACACAGCAACATTCAAGCAGGAAGCAGCTAGCGACGAGCAGTTGCTGAGTTGGGTCGTGGTAGTGACTTCTCCTTGCTGTCCCCTAGGCCCTGCAGTGCTGCACAGGCTGCAGGCCCTCGTCCCTCGCCGCAATATTTTCATGTCCATGAATCATGAAGGTCAACATCAACCGGTTGCTAACGTTACGCGTTCTGCGCGTAACTCTGTTAAAAAAAGTCGTGTACTTTTTGTAGATCTAGACTATGAGTATGACTAGTATGAGTATGACTATGTCATCGTTGTTGTTGTCTGAACATGATTGTACAATCATGAATGTCATGCATAGCCTTTGGCTTTGTGGAACAGACTACAATCATGTAGATCTACCATGCATGATGCACCCGGCCCACACTCTGCCTTGTACAACACTTCAGTATATTTTTATAGTGAAAAAGAGAGCGAGCTCCTGTGTGGGGAGCAAACCCTTTCCTAAAAAAGAGAGGACCAAGGGTTTACAAGATATCCATTGTTTGTATCCTACACTGACAATAATAAGCAAGATACTGGTGAGTCAAAACGTACATGTTAACAGTTAGGCTGAGTTAGCACAACATTGACTGCTGTGATGCTGACATTGGACAACCTGATGCTTTGCTAGCTGCATCAAGACAAACAATTCGCAAACCACGACTCCCTGTCGCAAACCAACAGCCTTCCAACTTGGAAGGTTCACTTGAAGTTATGAAAAAACGTAAGAAAAAGGAAGGTGCGCTTCAGTATATGCACAACCTCCGGGCAGCTAGCTGCTTCGAGCTGCTCGATCCATGCACATGCACACAAGAATTCAAGAGAGCAGTCAACCGATAATCAAGAGATCTTGCGGTTGATTTACAGTAGGTGCCGCCTGAACCTTTGACCGGGCTCAAGCCAGTCAAGTGGTTTGTATAAGAAATACACAGGCATATACATGTACTTATAAAATACATACTGAGTCCGAGGTGTTTACGAGAAATAAAAAACCGACACAAAACCCGAGGCGAAGCCGAGGGTTTTGTGGAGGTTTTTTATAATTCGAGTAAACACGAGGACGAAGTATGTATTTTATTTAAATTATACTTATAAAAACCGATTTTCGTTTTGGACTTATCTCTTGTTCTCATCTACCCCTAAAAAGAGGTTTTTTATACAGGTTTTTTATAGCCGGCAGGTTTTTTATACAGGTTTTTTATAGCCACCAGGTTTTTTATACAGGTGTGTATGAAGTATAGAAACTTCTAACCCTACACGACAATCAATGGAGGTTTTTATAAGTATAATTTAAACCTAAATATAACAGTACCACACATGCACACACGGCCATGCTTTGCACTGATCAACCGACAAGAAGAATACAACCGCGTGTGGAATTGGACACAAAGTCCAGAGCAAGTCAAAGCAAGGGACCAGCATATACGAACAAGATTGATGAGGTATCATAAATCAGAAGAATAAAACAGTAAATAAAACAGTAAATAAAACACAACTTTGTTGGTGTCATGTGCTAAGATAATCAGAATGAAGCCAAACAAAAACAAAACACTACACCAGCAGCGTAAGCACGAGCGAGGCTTACGAAAACAAGGAACACGTACTCATCTAGTAACGTTATAATATCATTCTGTACTTGAAGTAGTTTGAAGCGCGCGAAGGGGAGGGGGGGGGGGGGGGGCTAGGGAACACAATGAAGGCATGATCTATTATTTTATTATCCCATACTCAATTTAGGCCAGGTGAAATAGGGCGGCTGCAAGGCGAAGCTGTTACATAATCAATGCCTTCTAAGGAGTATTAAAGTACTGGCAAGCGGCATGTATGGCCAAGCTAATATGACAGAAAGAAAATGAGCAGGGCAGTGGATAAGAGTAATACAATAGCATGTACAAGCAAGGATGAGTCATAGTCACGCTGTGCTGGAGCTCAGTGGAGCCTCTCATCAAGACACACACAAGCACATGAAACAAAAACAAAACGCAAACCGTGTGGAATAAAAAAGATAAAAAGTTGCCTGCAATAGTTGTTACATATACTACTTGCAGATCAGGGAGAAAAGAGCACTTGCATCCGCTCTTAGACGCATACCTCTACATACCAACAAACAGTAGCACACACACACACTTTCTTTCTCTCACACGCGTGCACACACACACACACACACACACACACACGGGGCCAGCACCACACGCACAGTCTACATGTACATGACAAAGCATCAATGAGATCTAAACACTGTAAACAGGGAAAGCAGTGGCAGTATGACCACATGGCAGTATGACCACATTGCAGTATGACCACATGGCAGTATGACCACATGGCAGTATGACCACATGGCAGTATGACCACATGGCAGTATGACCACATTGCAGTATGACCACATGGCAGTATGACCACATGGCAGTATGACCACATGGCAGTATGACCACAGGTAGCGCCTAGTACAACCATGAGCAGAGGTAGAGCAGAGAAGTATAACACTCAAACATACCACTGTATGCTACCACTGTTCTACTCATAGCCCCCTGAGAGAGAGAGGGAGATGGAGAGAGAGAGAGAGAGAGAGAGAGAGAGAGAGAGAGAGAGAGAGAGAGAGAGAGAGAGAGAGAGAGAGAGAGTAGGACGATGAGTATACGGTTGTGCCTGTGGGTGTAAACATGCTTGGAAAACTCAGCGCATCGCAAGAGAAGACACATCAGCAGTTAAGAGGAGGGGACACATTTCCTCCAGCTTTGGTACTGCCGCAGTGGAGCATTGCAGCTAGCCGGCATACATGCCAACAAATGCATACAGAGTGTCCTTCACACGGCTGCTGTGCATGTAACACAATGAGCATGTCACCAGCATCATGAGCAGTGTCACCCAAAAAGTCGCCAGGCAAGACCAAAGTATGGATAACACGAACACCGGTCTCAGCATCGCCAGTACTGCAGTAGCACAAGGCGACAACTGCACAATACGACTATTGTATGTTAGTCGAACACTCAACGGCTATACAATGAAATAAGGCATACTCGCCGCTACCGCCACCGCAGCACATCATGCCAGTAGTTTGGCTGCTGTCCACGCATATCTATGTCCATTGCCATCACGTCAACATGCCCAGCAGAAGTAGTAGTAGAGACAGTGATGACTAGAGATGAACGTCAAAGCAGTACTGCCCTTCTCATGACAGGCGACGGTGATACTCTGGTGGTGGAGCATGGTAGTTATCAGAAGACAGGTATTTCTGGCTATTCTCACTCAAATATCTGCAAGAAAAAAAACACACAGACCAGACACAGGCTCATGCACACCCACCCACCCACCCACCCACCCCCCCCCCCCCCACACACACACACACATACACCTTCCCTTCCTTCGCCCACTGCCACAATTGGCTATGTGTCCCCAAACGGGGCGACTTGAAGGAGTGCTGTCTTCGGGACACAGCATGAGGCCCTGCGAGTCCGGCGGGACGTGAACGGCTGTTTCATTGTTTGTTTTTTGCTTTTGCGGAGCGACGGGAGGTCAATTTTCTTTTCTTCCTGCAACAAATGTTTTGGTTTTTTTGAAATTTTGAAGCCGTATTCACGTCGCCGTCGGACTCAACAAGAATCCTCACATTCCAGGTTCCCAGAGACAGCACGAACCTCCGAGCGGCTGGTGCATGCTGCGAGCTAAGCTCTGAGCGAGGGTTTGCAACTCCTCCGCGCTCAGGCGGACGAGGGTCAGCGCGAGTCGTCATATCCGAGGTGACCATGTTGTCGACGCTGAATTGTCCTCGTCCGCGGCAGCAGGATGAAGGCTGCCTCGATCAGCACAGCTGCTCTACTTACTGTGAGTCTACAACTCAGCCCGTGGAAGAAAACTCATAAAAAAACCAGCTCAAAAATCTCCTTCCACTCACCTCCAGCACAAAACATAAATACACACACACCTCAGACCTCAGACATGCCCATCGCGGGAGCGATGATAGCGAACAGCTATGTTTTAGACATAGCAACTTGTGCTGGGATTACACCATCCAACAGCTTGCAAGGCTGATGAATTGACCGCCACTATTTTTAGCCTGGTATCCACCACACAGCTGTTTGAAGTGACTTTTTCTGGCCAGTGAATCCCTATTTTTCATTTTTCCATTTTTTTTCTTTTTCTACACACACACCACACCACATACTCCGGCATACACTGGCTGTTGGTAACCACCCACACACATACACACACACACACACACACACACACACACACACACACACACACACACACACACACACACACACACACATACACACGCACACACACACATGCACACACACATGCACACAATGTACATCTGGTTTGTGCTACTAGAGTATGCCCAACTCATCTACAGTTGTGGCAAGTGAAATCCAACACTTGGCATAAGGGACTGCACCATGCAGTCTGCAGCCCCTGCAGCCCTGCATACGTACAGTACATGTGTTACATACAACTACTTTATCTGTCTGATAACAAAACTCGTACTCATCACAGTCAAGGTTCAAAAGGTGCTGGCAAAAATAAATGGGGATTGGATACCAATACTCCTTATGTGTACCATATTTGTGAACTGTGTGTATCTACGCTGTGACCTTTCGATCAGTTTGGGATGCATACGGCTCTATAGTACAAATTAGGTGCAGTGCATTACATCACTGATGTCCATTTGTGGCGCTGTCCCCTATGGCAAGTGTCGGATTTCACTTGCCACAACTGTAGATAGGAGATGTTCCCAGTCATCTGGCATGCCTAGATCAGGTCCATGCACTGCGTACCATTGGTCCCAGGACCGAACTTCTAAATGTACATTGTATTGCTACACCAACGAACATCTACAAACTCCACTTCTTTGCCAGCTGTCTGCTGTTGTAAATCTAACAGATGGCATGGCCAAGCAGCACATGAACTCACCCAAGGATAGCGTGGATATGTGGAAGAAGAAGATTACAACTCTGCTCCTCCAACCCAGTGTAGGATAACACTGAACCAAGACGTACTGGACGGGGGGCGACAAGAACACAATCATAGCAACAGCAATCAACTCACACAACAACTTAGATGATACTACAAATTCACAAAACAGATACATCAGGAAGACAGGTTAGTCTAAGTTACTGCAAGCTAAAACATAGTACAGTGGACTCCTGATTATAACAAACACCATTGTGCAGGAGAATTAGTTCTTTATAACCAAAGTTCGTATTAACAGAAACGCAGTCAAACGGGGACATGGACAATGGTTCGCTATATCACATAATTCGCTATATGCGAGTTTGTTATAAGTGGAGTCGACTGTATGTCAGAAGTAAAGTGAATGGTGACTGGTTGAATGGTGAAAGAAGAACTAAACCAAGATTTTCTCATCAACGTTAGGTGATCTATCAGTATAAGAATTCTGCTACTAGAATCAATTCAGGCACTGTACACACCGGGTACCACGAACAGCACAGATCACAGGTGAGCGGCAGAGGCCGACCCCCCCCCCCCCCCCCACACACATGCATGCGCATAATTCCTCCAACAATAAATCCCTTCTCACCAAACAATCGTAGTAGATGCTCCACTCCATAGATCTCAGACACCGACAGTTCACTGTGATCCAGTACAAGCTAGGGAGGCACATACATGATTGTACATATGCATGTTGTTGTTGTTGTTGTTGTTGTTGTTGTTGTTGTTGTTTTACTTAGTATTTTACTCAGGCAATCCCCACAGACTAGAAGTCTTTTTACAGCCCCCCCCCCCCCCCCCCCTCGCCCTCTCCCCTTACAGCTGGGTTACAGAAGCACTAGTGAGGCTCCCACCACTACGTGGTTGAAAGTACAGCAGAGCTCCTTTACCCTGGCATATTGGGACCAGGCACTGCCCGTAACTAGGAACTGTCAGTAATTCAGAACATACATACTGATTGCATGCAAGTGAACAATTCGTATGCCAATCAATAGTTTTCGTGCTGTTTTTTTTTTTAAACTTGATTTGCTGTTATTGAAAAGCCCATTTGGTGACTCAAGAGGGGATTAGCAAGGTCCCCGGAACTGGAGAGTCCAGGCTAGAGGACTTGTACTGTACATAGTAGATACCCTACGGTCATCTATTGCCGAGGGGAACGCATGCACCAGATACGCTGTATGAAAGCCGTTACTTCATAACTGGTTGATTGGCCTATGAAAGCCCGGTTTAGGCCAATCAACCAGTTATGAAGTAACGCTATATCGCAACATTTCATTCCCGTGGCACACGCATAAACTGTTTTGGACGGGCCTCACCCAACTGGGTACTACGTGCTACTACCGCGAATGTGGAGGACCGTGCCCGGTTGGATGTCGTTGCCAATGGTTTGTGGGGCAGTCGAACACTTATTGATATACGAGTTTTTAACCCTCACTGACGCTCAAATTGATCTGCACTGCATACTACAAGTATTATGTATCAGCGACACGGAAGGAAAAAAGAGAAGGCACTAGTATGAGGGGAGCGCGAGGCAGGTTGAGCAAGCCTCGCTTGTTCCGGCGATCATGTCAACCAGTGGCGGGATGGGTCTGGCGTCAACGGCACTCTACAAACACATTGCTCATCTGTTGGCTGAGAAGAGGGGCGAGCACTACTCACATGTTATGCCCTTCGTTAGTTGCAGGATTTCCTTCAGCCTTCTGAAATCATGTACCATGTGCATTCGCAGTCGTAGGCGTATCAATTTTGGTTTGAAATTGGAACCCTCCTGCTGAGGCCACGCTGCTTTAGCAGTGGCGGAGGTTCGCTTGCCGACGTAACCGTCGGACACCATCATGAACAATGGACTGACCAAGTATTCACTTGTCCTGCCTTTCTAAATAACATGAGTTTAACGCACATGCTCTTGGTTTAGTTTTTGGCTTTTCTTTTAAGCTGTGGAGTTACTTGTTTCGAACTAAAAAAAACAAACAAAAAAAAACAATAAAAAACTACGTACTACTAACCTCACCCGGGTACTAACCTCACCCAACCAGGTATTAACCTCACCCAACCAGGTATTAACCTCACCCGACCGGGTACTACACTCACCTGACTGGGTATAATTATGTACTAACGTCACCAAACCGTTATCAGCAGGCTGATCTTCAGTGCCCAATGTTAGTGTACACGACATACGTGTACCGTAAAGTACCGTTGACCCTCCCCTGCTCTAATTTCCGCCCCCTGTAGAATTTCTGCCTGTGAAGCGACGTCGGCGTATACAACGAAATACGATGTTGAACCGACGCATGTACTGCTGTACACAATATGTTCGAGTGCAATATGAAAATGTGCTCAATCCAGCATGCCAGGTCTGATCTTCTGCCATTTTGTACATTGTACTGCACTTGAACGACTTGATCTAATTCCCGTCCCTGGCTGAAAAACCAGCTGGGAAGCGACATGGCCTGGGGAGGGGGGGGGGGGGTGTTAACGGTACTTTACGGTACATGCACATGATATAACTAACCTGAGCATACTGAGCACGTTCAAACTTGTAGAGTAGCTGTGGGCCAAGTAGAACATTGAAGTACTCCACGATACCAGCACATACTTCACTGGCAATGCTGAAACAACACACACACACACACACACACACACACACACCACACACACGCACGCACGCACACACACACACACACACACACACACACACACACACACACACACACACACACACACACGTGTGCACAATACTATTGAAGAAGAGCAGTACAGTAGCACATAAGGCCATAGTAAAAATTATCTTTGATTCTCAAGTACGCGCGCACCGATTTTCGGCGGCGCAACGACGATTTTTTTTAATTCTATGCATGCATGTGCGCACATTGGCCGGAAGGCCATGCATGATGTACAAATACGGCTGCACTGTACAGTCCTGGCATGCTGTGTACTAGTACACACTGCACTGTACAGTCCTGGCATGCTGTGTATTAGTACACACTGCACTGTTTGTATACAGATACATGTACATGGCAGTGTTAGTGAGACTTGACAAGTGTGCATGCAGTGCTAGTGAGACTCGACAAGTGTGCATGCAGTGCAGCACTAAGCGTGTGCATGCAGTGCAGCACTAAGCGTGTGCATGCAGTGCAGCACTAAGCGTGTGCCAGCGAAGTGCAAGTGGATCCGAGTTCACATCCGGAGCAAGCTCACGTGTAGGTGTGATCATGTTGCACGCGCAGCAGGTCCGATTTCAATTCTTCGACTCGATCGAGTGTCGCGAAACGGACTGGCTTTGTGCTACGTGTATACGACGGGCCACTTTTGTATCTCGCGTACTGTTGCGTGCCCTGGGGCGTGCCAGAAGCATTCGGGTCAAGGAGAATCTTGCCGCATGACCGCTTTTGCTTCCTGGTCTCTTCCTTTTCAAGTAGTTTCTGCTCAAGACTCGAAGTGGGAGTGTAGTTGACTTTCAGCTTCTAGCCGGAATGGTCTGGTGATGGAGACGGACGACCTTTGCCGCTGCGGTGCGGTGACTTGTGTGAAAAGTGTTGTCGTTTCGCTACGGGTGACTGGCAGCGGGAAATGTTCGGAGTTGACGAAGGGTTTTGTTGTGAAGAAGTTGTGCGGGCAACTGTCGGTGGCGGACGCTCGTCTGTCCGTACTCGTAACCGAACATGCTGAGGAACCCTTCTCAGTTCACATCGGAAAGTCGGTGAACGATGCCAATCCTCAGAGATGCTCTCCCGACGACGCTATCGCGCTGACGCTCGGAGACATCATCGACACTTACGAGAAGCCGTTGTACTTGTCCTACCTCGTCGCGGCGCCTGCTGGGGCTCCTGTCCAGCCGCAGGTTTCGGCATTCGATAGGATGATGGCAGCGTCGGAGCAGCAATGCTGGCCAGACGTTCCGTCGCATGGGATCAACGGTAAACTTGATCTCCAGTTCGACATTGTCGCGTGGCTGAAGGGCGTGGGAATCGGTTGGCGCACGGAGCAGTTGGAGAGCCATGGAGTGCCGTTCGTCTCTCTTCTGAGCAAACTTCTGTGGTACCTCGATCCGCACAGCAAAACGCTGAAAGGTAGAGCATGTGCTGTGCCGGAGCTCTTTCATCAATTCCTTGGGTACAACAAGCCCGAGAAGCATGGCCACACAGCACAGAAATTGTCCCGAAGCACACTGCACAGCACGGGTTAAAGGGCAAGCTAGAGCAGTGCAGTCTACAGCTTTGGATGCAGAAGACATCAGTGAAGGAACTGTCCAGTGCTGTGACGGAACTTGTTGGAAAACTGGAAAAGTACTGCATCTACTTGGAAGAACACGTGAAGACCACTGCTACCAATCAGTCACACCTGGTGCCTGTTCGTAACCAGGACGATGCTTGCGCCACGATGGTTCTCAAGCCAACACCCATTCTTCTTCCTCAGCACACCGCAACGTACACCAGCCTGCTGAGTAAGCTTAGATCTGCCGATCTGTACGAGGCTGTGTTTGTCAATGATTTTGAAGCTTCTGCTAGTGTTGGTGCACGCATGTACCGGAAGCATCTTTGTGACGTCATGCCGTTCCCGGTGAGGAAGTTCGTGTACAGAAGTGGTCACAACGTTGGTGATTTCCTCTTCATCTGGAAAATTGATCCTTCATTCAGTTCTGATAATGAGCTGCTGAAGAGCAACAAGTGCATTTCACAAATGAAGAAAGACCTACCGATCTTTCATACTCGCTCGATGTGTCGTCAATTTTCAAAGAAGGCTGGCCGCATCTGCAACCTGAAGCCTGCCCAGATCCGTGCCCTCTACAGAGAACTCACAGGTACAGACGTTGACGATCTTGTTTTGATGTGTGTGTGTGTGTGTGTGTGTGTGTGTGTGTGTGTGTGTGTGTGTGTGTGTGTGTGTGTATGTATGTCTGTGTGTATGTCTGTGTGCCTGTGTGACATGTTGAGAATAGCTTGTGTGTCTGACGTATGAGCTCATACTTGAAAGTGCAACTGTGTAGATTTCTCACTGTGTGCATGCGTGACACTATGCTCATCTTCTGTCATCTGATTGAAAATTGTCTCACTGTATGTGTGCATCTATGTCTCTGTGATGTTGTTTTGTGCTCAGCTGGCATACAGATGATGCAAGTGCGGCGGATAGTGCCGCCACGGAAGCTGTCGACAATCGGATACGGTTTGTGATGAACAGCGAGGATGCCGATCTGGTACCGTATGGGACTTGAGAGAGCTCAATTCCGGCCGCCCAGAGCAGAACCAGATCTTCTAGGAAGAGTGCCGCCGGTACTTGGAGGAGACTGTCCAAACTGCAGTGGATGACCGTCGCCACAGCCCCCTGATGCACATGGTGTCAGCGATGTCCGCTTCCGACCTCCACAGGATTGTCTCGCAGCGTCTTCCGGAAGATGTGAAGAAGCCATCAGTGAAGTGGCTACTCCTTCAGTTCGCTCCAAAGGACCCCACATGCAAGCGAGCCATTCATCACACTGGTGCTCTGAATGTCCGCTTTGCCATCCAGTCACGGCAATGGAGATTCCCACACCCTGACGACCACTATGCGGCAGCACTATACAAGTATCTCCGTGGAATGGCAATCAAATTCCGTGACCATGTGACCATGGTGGCAGTCGACAACAAACACCATTGCAAAGTTAGTGCGCCTGGCTACCCACTTGCAGCTGTGGAGCGGGGCAAGCGAGTTCTTGTTGCAGTGGGGAAGACGTTCGCAGTCGGCGATCACGACTTTGCAGCCTGGTCCCATCGGTAGCCCTGGTGTGCGACGTACCGGAGGACATTGGTGGAACATTCTTCGTCGGACAGGTGAATGTTGGCGTCAAAGATGCTGCTTTTGAAGCAAGCTCACCACTGCGCCACGCAACAGAGTCATCATCACTGATAGCGATGCGCAACCTCGCCAAGCCGATGCTGTTCCTGTACAGCGATGGTGGTCCAGACCACCGTGTAACCTACTTGTCCACCAAGCTCTCCCTGATAGCGTTGTTCCTCAAGAATGACCTGGACTGCCTGGTGGCTGTGCACACTCCACCGCACAAGTCAACAGCTGGAGGAATCCAGTGGAGAGAGCTATGAGTCTCCTGAACCTGGCTATGCAGTCAATGGGGCTGATGAGATCCAGCTGCGAGGAGAGGTTCGAGAAGGTCTTGAAGTCGTGCAACTCTCTGTCACAGATCCGTGCTGCTGCGGAAAAGGACGCAGGGCTGACGGCTGCAATGCTTGATGCTATGCAACAGCCCAAGTCCCTCCTATCGGCGCTGTTTTCACGGCTGCAGCTGAAAGGTACGCCCTTCGGCACATTTGAGAGCGCAAGTGATGCAGAGATGCAGGGCATGTTCGAGCTGCTGAAGACCATCGACCCTCTCACCACGCCTGATGACCAACAGCAAACAGTCCTACGGCACCGTCCTGGTTTGCAGCGCTTCCTCGACCATTGCTGTCAGAGCCGCTGGTACTCCTTCTCGATCAAGAAGTGCGGCGAGGAAACATGCAGCATTTGCAAGCCACGCTGTCTGCCTAATGAGCTGTTTGAGACCCTCCACCACATCCCCGATCCCATCCCAGATGAATCTGGTGAGCACTACCGGCCATTTGAAGAAGTGTATGGCCAGAGGACCACGGAGCAGCACCGTTCTTCCCTTGCCAACGGCAAGCAGCAGCATGGCATTCCGTTTACGCCATCAGCCCAGACAGCAAAGAATGTCATGAGGACTGTTGCGTGCTCCGAGTGTGATCGTCCACGGGTCCTCTACTCAGAGCGGAAGCTGAAGGCTCAGGATGTCATTGCGCTGGATGCGATGCTGGCTATGCTGTTCTCTTGTGGCGCATCTATCCAAGACTTGGCTGGTGATACATCTGCTGACGCCAACGTTGCATCATGTGTGTATGTTCGGGGAAACCTGACATGCACGCAGGCATTGGAAATGCCCTACTACTCGGCCGGCTGCTTCCCAGTCGTCTGCATTCAGTGTGGTGGGTCCGACAATGTGCTGCACGGAGACGGAGTCGAGCACATGCCTACATGCCCTGATTGCCTTGCAAGCAAGCCGCATATTGGCAAGCGCAAGAAGTCGCAGGTTGGTGCCATCAGCGCAGCAAAGAAGGCGAAGAAAGCGGCTCCATCCACAGAGCCTCAAGCACCCTAGAAAGAGGCAACGTGAAATACACCGAACATGTTGATCAAAATTTAATGTGATTGCTTGACTGCTGTACTTGAAGTGTGATATAAACATAGAGAAAACGGTCAATGCGAAAGGCATGAATCAGGGAGTAGTAAAATACCGGTATTGTTCTACTCCCTGGCCTGAATATATGAACATGTGACCATGTACATACACTCGGACGTCTCTTATCCGGGCACCTTGGGACCGGGCACTGCCCGTATCTCAGATTTGCCCGTATCTCAGAATGACTCATCTACCATGTATGATATCATTTTTTGAAGAAGTTTATTTGGCACGTATTGCACATGTTGAGGATACAAAAGGAACCCATTGATAAAAATGTGGGGATTACATAGGCTGGCAGTGAAACATAAGCACTTCCACATACGGAAAAAAGTTCAAAAAACCCAAATTCGACGCATTTGTGCTATAGGAACTCAAGCTGAAGGTGCCCGGTAGAGAGACGTGCCCGTGTCTGAGGCGTCCGGATATGAGGGGTTTGAGTGTATGTGTGACCCTATCTTTGGAAAAAAATAATAAATCGCTCGCTCGCACCGATTTTCACAGGCTCATGACCTGAGAATCAACTTTATTTTTTACCATGGCCTAAATAGAAAACATTACCACCCCGAGGCCATACACTGGATAAAGACTAAGTGGCTGACATGACGCAACCTACACTTCCAGCCAATCAAATCAACGCAGCCAATTCTTATTTGACCAAATGGCTTTGTGCGACAAGAAAAAATGTGCGGCTTCTAGCATCCTTATCAGTACTACGCCTACGGTACACAGTGACACGGCATATGGTCCTTATGCACGTTGTACCGATGTATGAAGTTCTGTACTAGGGCCGTAGGTGTGTACATACCCGGTTGGGTGTTCATTGTGTGCTATACATGCACACTTGACCAATTTCACCTCAGTATCAATGAAAATCAATCGCTTTTCCAGCCGCATCACTTTGGATAGAGAACTAACGACTCGCTAGATCTTTGTCGGAAAAGGGTTTCGTATGAAATACCTTCAGGGCCCATTTCTTAGTGGGAATAACAGTAAACAGAATATGGTCCTGCACATTCAACACCTGACCGGTTCTACAGGATTCTACGAGACTCTACGAGATTTCGGGTATCTGTAAAACCTGCATAAGGCTTATTGTCTTACCCATGTCTCTTTCTGTCTGACTCAATTGTTTTCTTAAAGTCTGCTAGAAATGTGCTGACAGTACATTTACTGGGTAGCTCCAAAAGCTGTGCACAAACACATCAATAGAAAAAAGCACATTTCTGCAAAGAAATCCCCTGAATACTATTTCAACACAATAAAAGAAAAGCTGACAGGATCGCTTTTCTAAATTCTACGTTTTGCGACTATTCAGGAAGGGTAGTTATTACTGGTAGTAGTAGCTCATTACTTCAACTTTCCAATCTTGGGAGTCAGAGTAGTCCATGTTTTTCCAATCTTGGGAGTCAGAGTAGTCCATGTTTTTTAACTAGCCATGATAGCTCTACAAAGCTCTACCACCCTACCGCATCAGAACCTGACAGGAATTGGTAGAGTACGTGGCTTGTAAGGCTGCAACCACACTAGGTTAGTACTAGGTATAAAATCACGTACAAACGGCGTTACAGTAGAAATCGTCTTGGCAACGGGCAAGAAATGCAAAACGCGCTTTGTAGGTTTTCAGCAACCAGCGCACCCCTGTAGAAAGCCACGTTTGCCGTTATCGCGTTCCATCTCCTGTTCGCAGCTAGCTGGTCGTCGTAAAGAATCAGTCTTTTGTTTGTTTTTGAACTCAATTTGCCGTTCTCGGCCTTTGTGCTCCTCAGTGATCAAGTACGGGGCTGAGAGTAGTTTCTTCTGAAACTCCTCCGAGTTGGACTGTTCTTTTGTGCCGTAGCTGTGACGTTTGTGCATTTTCCATAGACCATGCAATCTCGTTCTCAGGATGAGCAGTCCACAATAAACGTCTGACGGTCTCTGGTACGACTCAGCACGAAGTAGGCGATGAGGAGAATGTGTGCTCTTGTAAACAATTGCTCGAATTGCTGCATCTGCTGCATCACCATTTTCCAAGCATCGTTGTGAGCTGCAAGGATAACTGTAATCCTTGGCAGTGCCCATAGAGCGACAGTGCATTGTCTCTGGAAGAAGGGAGGCATAGCCACAACAAATCGCAACTCCAGTAGTGCAAGTTCACGACACAAAGCAGAACAAACTACTCTAGACGCAATGTTTGCAACGACAAGGCCAGGTGAAATCTTCTTCATAAACTTGTTTCTGAATTTTCTGGTGTTTTCCAGCGTGTATACGCTTTGGTACGACAACGTCACGTGCTGGTCGCGTGAAAACGTCATCTATGCAGACCGAAAAGTGCAGTGTGGTTGCGTACCAACTTGTACTGAAATATGCACGAAATTGTGTACTGTGATTTTCACGTAGTGTGGTTGCAGCCTAAGATTTTCATCATGAAAAGGAGTTCTAAATCTACCTGTAGTACCAAAACTCGTTGAGTTGATCACCATGATCATACAGCCAACAAACATTGATTTTGTACATACATGCAGTTAGGTTACACGCTTTTTTTAGTTTGACAACATACCGTAAAAGTCCGTAAATAAGTACCTGCCCGAAAGAAATACCCCCTTCATTCTTTTGGTTCTGTCTGTTGAAGTCAAGTCAAGCCCGATAAATATACTGCCCGAAATAAGTACCGGTACGATTCGCACATGCAGCACGTAGCGTGTCCATCGACATGAAAATGACTTCTCCACTACACACAAGTCAGGTCTGAAAGTTAGTTCGTGCCCGAAAGTCAGTACCCGCCCGAAAGTAAGTACGGGTGTGGTCACTAAATTCGAAAGTAAATACGTACTTATTTACGGACTTTTACGGTATTACAAGGTGGTGGAACACCATTGCACAATACATGAATACAATACAATACAGTGGAACACAGTAGAAAACAGAAGAACACAGAACAGCAGAGTGGAACATAGAACACAAAACAGCGTAGTAGAACAAATTAGAACATACAACGTACTACTGTAAATAGAACATAGCACAAAACAGCAAAGTAGAACACAGAACAGTACCTGTTTCTGCTTATTAACAAGGTCATTGTCATCCAGTAGCCATCTCTTCAGTGCATCGGGTACGGTTAGAACAATCTGATTGCTGGCACGTTTACTGGAACTGTCCTCCTACACAGATACATGAAGAAACAATGTCAACACCTAGTGTGGCAGAAGAGTTTGGGACGTTCTTGTTTATGTTGTGTATGAAAGACCTCAGATATTCTGTTTAGGCTCTTCTTACAAGTGAAGAGCTATTTCGATATACACAGTCAAATACAATGTAGGTACTGCCTAGCTAGGTACACTGTACTGGGTACACTGTACTGGGTATGAGTATGAGTAAGTTACCAAGGGTACCCGGTATAGAGGATAGCCAGGCTTACACATCTGCTGTCACGCTCAATGAATGCCCCCAGCCCCCCCCCCCCCCCCCCCCTCTCTCTGTCTCTCTCTGTCCCATCTATCTATCCATTGTACACAAGGTCAATACATTGAGACAAAACATGGTTGTACATGTGCCACCATACACATGATGGTGGTAAGAGAGAGCACACCATACACATGATGGTGGTAAGAGAGAGCACGCAGCTGTGCACACCACAACATGGCACTGTGGCGCACCTTAGTCGGAGCATGCGCGTGGATTGACAGTAATACGGATCAGAGGAATTCTAGTGAACTTGATTAAGACGTGGTAGAGCATGCTTTTCAGCCATGCATGAACCACATGTGAATCCACTACCGTGGACATGGAAATCCGGTCGAATGACCGAGGCCGGCGTCCTCAGTGCGAATACAGTAGAACGTTGCATGCACAGTGCACATGTTGATCGCATGCATACTGACGGCTGTATGGCCAGCGCCCTGGGGCTGCTTGAGCTGCGACTGGATTTCCATGTCCACGACAGTACATGTACTGTACTGAGCTGCACTGCACTGTAATGCACCGTACAACACTGTACTGCACAGGATAGGATGGTGCTTATGCATTACAGTGTTGAAACGTGTGACAAGCCGTAGATTCTACACCCGGCCAGATGTCACTATGCTCCAGTGTACAGGTAGTGTAGGCACTAGGCATGCAGGGACACGGGGCTCATACATGTAACACTCCACAACTGTATGACATCTAACACTCAACAAGGGTATGTGCTAGACAAGTGACACAGGGGAACTAGTCAGGGAAACACAGCATAGTGAATTACATCTGCTGTCATCATGGCATCACCACGTCGGCGCTTCCTTGTTGGCTCCACAACCTCAGCTACAAGACAGACAAACAGACGGACAGACGAACAGACAGACAGACAGATATACAACTCAGAAGAACCTTCCAAGTTGGAAGGCTGTTGGAGTGCGCATCCAAGATGTGCTAGAGCTGTTAGCCAGTTAGTTGTAGAACGTCAGTACCGTCGGTCAGTGTCGTGCAATGTTATCGCATGAGCTGATTGTTTAGTAACTGGTGGTGTTAGTGGACATTATAGTGTAACTTGTAGTTCCTTGGTCCTTTTTACTTTTTATAAGTTAAATAATCCTTGGCTCTCCATCCGAGTTCGAAAATGATTATAAAAGAATTTGAGAAGTTGATCACTACAGCCGGTATATTGCTATAGCCACCAACCTTATACAGTATAGGCGATACACACTGTACATCCATCAGTCGGTTTTAAACACAAGCACATGTAACTTTACGCAATTAGCATACCATCTAGGTAGAAGTATGCATCCTGTACCTAGTTGAAAGTGGGGGTTGTTGGTCTAAACTCACTACTACATGTGCTCCCCTCACAACTATCCAAGTACAGTCTACTGGCAACAAGTCAAGAGCACTTTTGCAATTCGGACTGCATGCACTTTTGTATATGTGCCGTAAACAGATTATGTGAGTCAAGCACTCGCGATAAGTCACACATTTTGTCTTCAAGATCAGGCGCGCGACTTATCGAGAGTAGACTGTATGGCATGAGCAAGGAATGAGGCGAAATCACACCTAAATTAGGTAACAGTACGCACTCGCGTGATACCACAAAAATGTGTACACACACGGGCGCACATGCACGCCCCCCACCCACCCATACATACATACATACATGCACACACACAACAGAGGCGAAAGGCTGTGTTAGCTGTAACTTAAAGTTTCACGCATCGAGCGATCATCAGACAGCAGCATTCACTATCGAATTCTCTACGAGCAGGCCTAGATATTTGATGCTAGTGTGGAAGTTAGTGCATATGTGCGAAGTGAAGACGTGGCATTGGGACAATGGTATTGAGTTGTTTTGTGAGAGTTAACGGATAAAGGTGAGAATAGAGGCGATAACAGGGCAGTGTTACCGAGTCATTAAAGGCGATAGCGACGGTAGCGCAAGACCACAGCAAGAGTGAAGAGGGAGAGAGAAAGCACCATGGCGCCAAACCTGGTGCAGGTTGCGCCATGTCGAAAAACTCACGTAACTGATGGTGAGAATCTGGACAAGTAATACTTGTTCTCGTGTCTGCATTTCGACACCAACTCCGACCTTTTATTGATGTTGACCGTTTTGTCTGCTTCCAGGATCTCCAGTTTCTCAGCAAGGCATAGGGGACACCGCTTGGTCGCGTTCGAGTAGGCCTGGGCCTTGGTGACGACGGCCCATTTCACAGAGTGCGGAGTGTTCTTCCGCTTGAGCTTCCATATGCACTTGGACAGCTCCGTGCTTTTTTCCATCCTCTCATGCCTCGTCGTGCTCATGTGGTTGTTGTATCTCTGTTTAAAGGGTGGTTCCGTTAGGCCGAGGTACTCGTGCCGCTGCTCTCTTCCGGTGTGCTGGACTGTTGCCTTGTACACGATGCATCGTACTTGGCAGTCGCCGTCCATTGGGCAGGTGCTTTTGTCTCGGCAGTTGCATCGTTTGTCGGGGACGTTCTTGTCCTGTGTTTGTCTCTTCCTTTGAACATGGTTGTTGTGGGATTTGACTATTGCGGACATATTCGGCATACATGAATAGCTAACTTTGACGTTGTTGCGGTTAAATATCTGACGCAATCGGCAGCCGTGAGGAAAGTGTGTGTCGAGGAGTCGGAGGAATTTGTGTGCGATGTCTGTGGCCACGTTCTTGCTAAAGGGTGGGTTGTACCAAGTGATGTTGCGCCGCCTATTTCTCTTTCTTCGTCCTGTCTCCTCCTTCCTCTCTTCCATGTACTCGACTCGTTCCACGTATCCACTCTCTCTGAGGGCATCGTTGTACGCTGGTGCCGATTCCTCAAATATGTGTCGGTCACTTGATATGTCTGTTAGTCGTCTGCTGATTGTCTTTGGCAATTGTTGGATGATGGCCGGTGGGTGATTGGAAAGTTGGTGGACATAGACGGGCTTGTTGTTCGGCTTCCGGTATGGTTGGTATTTCCCTGTTGACAAATCCGAACCCCGAATATGTCCGCAATAGTCAAATCCCACAACAACCATGTTCAAAGGAAGAGACAAACACAGGACAAGAACGTCCCCGACAAACGATGCAACTGCCGAGACAAAAGCACCTGCCCAATGGACGGCGACTGCCAAGTACGATGCATCGTGTACAAGGCAACAGTCCAGCACACCGGAAGAGAGCAGCGGCACGAGTACCTCGGCCTAACGGAACCACCCTTTAAACAGAGATACAACAACCACATGAGCACGACGAGGCATGAGAGGATGGAAAAAAGCACGGAGCTGTCCAAGTGCATATGGAAGCTCAAGCGGAAGAACACTCCGCACTCTGTGAAATGGGCCGTCGTCACCAAGGCCCAGGCCTACTCGAACGCGACCAAGCGGTGTCCCCTATGCCTTGCTGAGAAACTGGAGATCCTGGAAGCAGACAAAACGGTCAACATCAATAAAAGGTCGGAGTTGGTGTCGAAATGCAGACACGAGAACAAGTATTACTTGTCCAGATTCTCACCATCAGTTACGTGAGTTTTTCGACATGGCGCAACCTGCACCAGGTTTGGCGCCATGGTGCTTTCTCTCTCCCTCTTCACTCTTGCTGTGGTCTTGCGCTACCGTCGCTATCGCCTTTAATGACTCGGTAACACTGCCCTGTTATCGCCTCTATTCTCACCTTTATCCGTTAACTCTCACAAAACAACTCAATACCATTGTCCCAATGCCACGTCTTCACTTCGCACATATGCACTAACTTCCACACTAGCATCAAATATCTAGGCCTGCTCGTAGAGAATTCGATAGTGAATGCTGCTGTCTGATGATCGCTCGATGCGTGAAACTTTAAGTTACAGCTAACACAGCCTTTCGCCTCTGTTGTGTGTGTATACTGCTCTGTACATTCGTACATTGAGCACTCTACCTCGAGCTTCCAGGACCGGTCTTGTTTGTACATGCACACACATGTGCACGCACTCACACACACACACACACACACACACACACACACACACACACACACACACACACACACCACACACACATACACACACACGCAAAGAAGCTGCTCCATCTTCATGATAACACATCTCCCTTACCTTTCTTCAATTTCTCATGTTTATCACCAAGACCAGTACGATCAGGACCTCCACGTCGCTTTTTACTGCTCTTACTACACCGCAGAGAACACACAGTCACGACAGAGTCATCTTTTTACTGCTCTTACTACACCGCAGAGACACACAGTCACGACAGAGTCATCTTTTTACTGCTCTTACTACACCGCAGAGACACACAGTCACGACAGAGTCATGACACAATCAAACACCACATAGAGCTACAGTGAATTCAATAAATCCATCCCTGCTGCCTAGTGCCATAGCCATTGAAACTGGAAGCATTTTTTCAGAGAATTTTCCACTTCTTCTGTGATGGTCTTAGACAATCCCACCATGCCTTCCAGCAGGTTCAAGTGTTGTTTCCAAGCAGAACATGATAGGATAAATAACTGGTGAACTTCATACGGACGCAGTGAATGGGATTTTCGGCCCTTGACCACGTTACGGTGAGTTCTGGCCTACTCACCCCCATCGCCTGTTCTATTCGGATGTGATGAGCAAAGCTGCTAAGCCCAAAGGAATATTACAGTCGCCTAGACTCAGCTTCACCAATCCCTTTGCTACATTACAAGGCTAGCGTGAAACCCACATTGTTCTCTTAGTCTCTGCCTTGAAGCTGCTCAATTAGTAACAAGTGGCAGCAAGTGATACTACAATCATTACTGTTACCTACCTGTAGAACTACTTCTTGAAGTAATAAAGTGACAGTGGTGGTAAGTGAAATCAAACTCTATCATCACCGGAAAAACAGTTCCGGAAGTGATCAGTGTAGGTGGCACCTCTGCTATTATTCATGTCCAGAGATTGGATTTCATTTGCCACCACTATACATGTCCATGATAACAATGTAGACTGACAAAATCTCAATGTTTAATAATAATACTGTACAGGTACCTTTGCTGCTGCAGCTCTTTTTGCTTCTGCAGATTGGCATCATTGTACTTCAATACTCGATTCTCAGGCACCCACTCATCCCAGCTATTCAATCACACAGACACAGACACAGACACACACACAGACACAGACACACACACATACACATGTACACACACAAACACACACACACACACACACAGACATGTACAGATACACACACAGGGTTCGTAGCACAATCTATACACAAAATTTCAGGGGATTTCCAGGGGCATTTCAAGGGTATTCACAGATGTCATACAGTCGCTAGACACCACATATGCGTAGCCACACAGAGGTTCACTGATTCAGAATGTCAACAATCGAAGATTTGATCATCAATACAGTTGAACACCGATTATCCGACCACCTCTGGGCAGACAACTGTCAGGCGGTGTTCAGATAAGGCAAATGTTCCGGATAAGAAAACACACTGTAAATACATGTACATGTACATTGTAAATAGAATAGAGTGCTACTTTTCAAAATTTTCGTATTTTTTGAATGGCTCACTACATGCACAGTGCGTACTCTACGGCACGTGCGCCCAAAAAAACTGTTACGGAAAATCGAATGGTCGGATAGTCGATGTGCGGATAATCGATGTTCAACTGTACTACAAGTAGTAGAGCCACCGTCACCATCATGCTTCTCCATCGCTGAGTTCTTAGCGAATTAGCCAGTCTTTGTACGGGTCCAAAGACAACTAGCGATCGTTGAAAACACACTTGCCTTCCGGCATGGAGAACAAGTACACTCTGTAAAACTTCTTCGGCATTCAGAAAAAAACTGAAGACACTTTGTCTTGTTGAAGGTCAAAACAAACAAATAAAACGGAAAAGCAGTTGCAGTGGCGGATTCCAGTTTCGCTACAGTCAGGAACCGTCGTACCACAGTCGATAGTCGAGCGTACATGGCGATCAAAAAATACCGTAAAGAACTAAAGAGTCACGCGAGCTGCGCTGGCCGCTGAGGCCGTCGACTCACATGACCAGTACAGGTGACCGGATTGGCACTCGTAGATCTATGCATATCATGTACAGTCAGTCGCTGAGTACGGAGGTCTACCAGATCGCGTGATCTGGAAAACAAATTTCAGGGGATTCAAAGAACATTTTCTATAAAATACAAAATTTGAGGGGATTTCAGGGAATTCCCGGGGGAAGAAAAACTTTCAGGGTTTTCAAGGGTTTTTAAGGGTGCTACGCACCCTGCACACATACACGTACACATACGTACACATAAACATACACAAACATACATACATGTAGAATAAGAAAAGCAACGGATAAATAGAACTCATACTAAGGCCATGAAAGAAAACGTAACAGAGTCTGTGCTCGATGGAGATGGTATACGAGTTATTTGTAAAAGCACATCCTACACAACCAGCTATTAGGGAGGTTTCACTCTACGTAATTACGTATGAAAATCCGTATGTCGTACACGCCGGGGAGCGAGGGCAACTTTCATACGTAAATGTCTCTACGGATTTCCGTAGGAAAGCCGTTTCCTACGTTGGGTCCTCCGTAGGACTTTTTGAAATATTTTTTGCATTTTCCGGATTTATCCTTGGCAACGTTCAAGCCGCGCGAAAAACAAGGTACACACACCGTACACCACGTGCAAAATAAAATGGAAAACGCGGTTTCAGTTCGTGGTGCATGCGGTGGGCGCATGCAGCCAACGCGTCTCCAAAGCAACAAGGCATGTTTAGCAGTTGTGGAGAAATCACGTAGAGCGAAACCCAACAGCTCTGATTTTTACGTATGAAAATTACATGCAGTTCCTACGTTATTTTCATACGCAATTCTGTAGAGCGAAACCTCCCTAATATCATGGAAGGTCGGGTTCACGTGTCACATTCACGACTGGCCAAGATGAGCATGGCTGAATAGTGTCATTGCATGAAATGCCATGAATCTGCATTAGTTGTGCCTTGCTGCCCATGACAGAGCTAGCTGGTGGTCGTGACAGCCTGAGCGCTAAGCCCTACATGCCGGTCACAATATTATTTTGAACGCGACATGGCCACATGGTGCTGGAAGCTAGGACAGTCAGACAAAATCGGTCACACTACACATTGAAGTGTCCCATAAGTCACTGCTACGCGCGACGATACACGAGATGTACGGTAGTACAGTATCTTGGTTGAAGATCAGGGAAACACAAATGCGTGCATGCCATGCATGCACCGAGACATGCCACAAAGGCCTGGAGGTGCGTCTCGTGAGATTCTGAGCCGCAGTACTCGAGTCACCATAGAAATATGACGTCAAGGAGCCATCAAGGACGCAGTGTGCCGGATGTCTAAGGCTGCCGCCGGCCCGGCAATGCTGGTATTGTTGACCTGGCCATAGTAGCATGCTTACATCCTACACTACAAGAGCCAGGTACACCTCACAACTCCAGGCGTACCATTGTATGTATGCCTTGAGTCTATGCATACCAGTATGTATGCCTTGAATCTATGCAGACCTGTATAAGTACGTATGCCTTTAGCCTATGTACAGAAACTATCTCGACTATGTACATTGTACACAATACATGCTGGATTACCGGTATGCAGCAAGGCGTATGCACGATATGCTCAAATATCACCAAAACATCGGGATTCAATCATGTTCGCCAGACAGCATGTGAGGAGCATGCACAGTACATGTATTGACATTGCTCAGTGCTCACCCACCTCTTATTCCAGCCATTGTAATGAATCATATACTGCATAGCTTTGTCCTTCACCTGACCTCGAATACACTAAAGTCACACACAGACACATGCACACACAGACACACACACATGCACGCACATGCACAGACACACACGCATGCACACACACATACACACACACACACACACACGCATGCACACATACATGCACACATACATGCACACATACATACACACACACGCACAGACACACAGAGTTTTTGGAAATGGAAAATGTAATAAACAGTACAACTGTCATCCATCCCCAGTCCCCACACATGAAAAATATTTGCAGAGTACCTAGCTGATAAATCTCCTCTCAGCAATCATGAATGAAACAAGTCAATGCACTGAATCTAGCATACTGCAAACTCACCACAACAAACTATAGTTGTGGCATGGGAAATCAGGACCGATATACACATTGAGCACCATGAATCGCTATTGATGGCCTTGTGCGCAAGGCCGTGTCAGCTTCGGCGCTGCAAGTGTACATCGGTCCAGATTCTACTTGTCATAACTGTACATGATTGTAAGAATTCAAAATAACAGGGACGTTTTGCAACGCGAAAGTTCAAACTTTTGGCGGCGGTGATATTTTGCGACAATATAATTAATTAGGTGTGAGGTTTAGCTGCCACGGTATGCCCTTTTTCGTGAAAAAGAGCCAAGTCACGTGTGTGTTTTTGAATTTTAATAATACCGTACTCAAACACTCAGTCTCAAGCAGGGAGTAGTTACTACTACATGTTCTCGCCGGTTTCAAGTGCGCACTGAGCAAGAGAAAGCTACTTCCGCAAATCACTACAACTTCGCATCCAAGTTTACGAGGTTTCGAGCTTTGTTTCTGCACTCGTTCCCAGACTCGATTTTTCCTTCAAACTTCTGCGTTGCTAAACGTGCCTAATACGTGTACAGTGTAATAACAAGAGTGCATAAACAAGAGTATGCAACTGTGGTTATGGGTCAGTGCGCGGCGCGCTGCCTTCATTACGTAATTTGCCTTCATCACGCTCTGAAAGCATGCATTCAAACTCACAATTTCTCGTACGAGCCCATCCGGTTTTGCTCGATTCGTTCCAGTACCTACGCGATCTCTAACAATTTTGGCGCGTGAACTCCAGTTCCGTACAAAAGTTCATTTCAAACCAGAGGGAAAGTGTGGTGTTTAATTTTCCGCAGTGCGCGGGCTGCAGCTGAATGATGTAATGAAGGCAGTGCGCCGCGCATCTGGCCCATAGAAAAGAGATTACAGTTGAATACTCTTGTTTATGGACTCTTGGTAATAATAATAACTTTCCCGTTTTCAACTCCCTCAACCTTATGAATTTTTTTCTTATTGTCAGACTTTTCCCGTTTCGAACTCCCTGAAACTTATGAATAATAACAGTAATCCAAAATTGTTACTGGAATAGAGGCATTTGTATTATGGTCTCATTACTTGCCAGTAACTCTTCTGATCACATGGCCTCCAAATCGATACAAGGATACTGAAGCCGATGCTTCATTTGCTAGATTCACAGCATTGAATACTAAAATACTGCGCATTCTCAGCTACATGCACCACGCAAACTTAGGTGTGTGAAGTGATGACCTAAAAATTGTGTACTTCATAACTTTCCAATCTAGTTGACAGCAACAAATTTGCAATACTGTTATTTACCTTGGCTTCGTAGATCATTGGCCCGTGAAAGCACAAGACCTTCTCACCGTCACTAAACTTCTTCGGCGGCATGTTGTATTGTTAGCGTAAAACTCCGTTATGACACGTTCAAAGGTAAAATGAGATACTACAGCTTGCTTTGAAACCGTGCATGAAATGAGATGAATTTCATTGGCAGTTGTTATATCCATTCACTCGACTCTTTTCACACTCAGTCTTTGAGTTTTTGACTTTGAACTGATCAACTCTCTGCATGCCAGCAAGAGTACATAACCATGATAACCCCTGGGGTTATTTTGTACTCTTGATGCCAGGGCCTAGGGATCGGGAGTCGTATTTTACGACTCCGTGCTGCATGCATGCGCCTGATTGATTTCATAGGTACCTACAAAAAAATATGCATGCACGTTGCAATAAAGTACATGACGTCAGTACGAGATGATTATTTTGGCTATAAAAAAAAGCCAAATCACCTCGTACCAAGAGTCCATAAACGTTTATGGACTCTTGCTCGTACTGACTGTACGTACTTTATTGCAATTAATTATTATTTAAATGACGTTTTTTCAGCCACTTACTTAGCAAGCTACGTCCAAATAAATTGTTGCAAGTGGAAGTGCTATCCTACATGCCTGTTGTCTCAAAAAATGGGAATGATCCCACTTTGGAAAGTGTCTTGAATCATGTCCTACTTTCATAGTATTCTCAGGGTTCAAACAATTGGTGTGTCATTTTTTAACAAATTTGTAAAATGGCATCACAAATTGGGATATTCGGTCATCAATGTTCTTAAGTTGATAGATATCACTTCAAGGAATGCTAGTGGATGAAAATTAATCTGTCAACTGCATTGTATGCTGCCGCAAAGCCGTGTTTTTTGTATTTGTAACTGGTGGCTGTGTCATACGGTAGAATTGGATAGGTAGCATAGCATCGCAGCCATGTTTTCGTTCTCACAGAGTGTATTCCGTGACCTACTGTTAATCATTGTTGTCTTTAGTGATGGCAAGACGGCCTGACGTCGTCCAAAGGCCCTGCGGAAGCAATTCACTGCCCTCCTCGTCCATTCAGTGGCTTATTTTACACATTATACACAAAACAGCAAAGCACCCACCACTAGGTATACCGACGTGACAGGGAGAATTAAATTATATGCACCAAATTTTCTGGTCAATGTTGATCTACATGTACTATAAACTGGCTCTCATTTGCCACCACCCATGTTTCGATACTACCATCCGCTTTCACTAGTCCGCAAATCTATACGTGACCACATAGGGTACCCTGTAAAAAGGCCTTAGCCTAAGGCCTGTGGGGATTGCCCTATTCAAAAATTTTAAAATAATAATAATAATAACAAGAGTACTTATGTACTCTTGATAATAATAATAATAATCCGCGGAGCAGAGAAACAGCCAGAAGAAAAGCAAATTATTTACACATTTTAAAAAAAGCCAAATCACTTCGTACAGTCAGTACGACTCTACGAGTGTTTTTTTTGTTTTTTCATTGAATAAACTGCGGCCTCTTAGTCTTACTTAGTCTTAGCGCGAACAAAACATGACAAGCGCGATATGCGCTATGCATGCATGGCCGGCCGGCGCGGCGCGGGTGCGCTTGGGGAAAACAACCGGTAAGTAATTATTTATATTCACAAAAATATTCACAAAATTTAAAAGATGTCACACGTGTTCAGAGAGCTAGAGAATTACTAGAAAATAATAGCTGTAGCATAGTCCGCACAATCACGGGCCAACTTCCGGGCTCAAACTCAAAGTCATATTCTTTAGAAGCTTATCTCTGGCACATTTTTCATCATTTACATGTATTATCCCAGTTCTGCAAGCTTACAATCATATGCTCAAGCGCAGAGCTCTGCCCTAGACTATGTCTTTTTCTCTTTCTTTGCTCACCTATTGCTCATCACTTCTTTTACAGATTTGGTATTATGGAAAGTTTGGAAACCCCCTCGATAGGCGAAAGCCTTTGGGGAATCCTTAAACAATAAAAATTACAAAAATTACAAAGGGTCACCTTAGCCTCCACGACAGCCAGGGAGGCACAGCCATCCATTGGAGGCTGCCAAACTCGGCGAGCCCCACGCAGACATATGACGCTCGAACGTAGCACTAGCAGGGCGAAAGCCAGCCTGCAGCGGAGATGGGCAATTAGCAAAGAATACGCCTCCCTCCCACGCAGCAACTGGAGGTGTGCATTCCGGCTCACCAGAGCAGCAGCACCCTTGCCGCATCCTCCGCTGGAAGAGAGAACAAAGGGGAGAGAAGTGGACCGCTCCACTTCTCGGACTCTCCGATCGTATCGACGCCGTTCCTCTTGCCCTCGGTGCCGGTAGCAGGGGGAGAGAGAGGAGGTGCGGTTCGAAGACGCATAAGGGTTGAACACCCGTACATCAATAAAAGTGCGTTCGAACCGCCCCCCCCCCCCCCCCTCCTAACTCCACTGGCCACCGCATCCAAATGAGCTTGATCCTCGGTTGATGCTGACCGGAGCTGGAACTGCTCCCCAGTCACGGGTTGGAGATGTGGCTCCACTGCGACGTTGTGGGCGACGCCCTTCAATGAGCTTGCCAGTATGTCGCGCACCTCGTTATGGCGGATCGAAGGGAACCCACCGAAGGGACAGGACAAGGCGTGAGCAGTGGTAGATGCCTTCTCGCAAACACAGGTGGTGGGCAGGCGAGAAGGGGTCCAGCCTTTAACGGAAGCAGAGGCCACCCCCGAATTCCCCCTTCGACAAAGCGAAGCCATGCCGAGCGATGGGTCGGCAGGTGAGCCAGCTTGATGCTCCCTTCTCCTCTGCCAGACTGATAGCGAGATCGAGTTCGCTGTGCTCGGTGCGGAACGTATCGGCAGCAATCTTCAATGCTTTTCTGGCCTCAGAGCGAGCCTGACTCTTGGCCCGGCGGACACAGGCAAGAGTATCATCGAGGTGCTCCTCTTGCGCCATGATCTTGTCATACAGGGCAGTCACGTGGTTAGCCTGGAGGTGCGGGTACTGTGAACCAAAGGTGGTAGGGTTGGCCACGCCAAGGCCTCCACGCCGGCAGGGGAAAGTGAGCAAAATACGCTCGGCTTCACTGGGCGCCGTCCGTCCACTAATGGCACGGATTAGGCGGTGGTGGATGATGTCCTCCAGGGGTGCGGCCTTGCCAGCTGTTCTGCAGCACCATCGAGAACCCGACACAGGAAGGACCACCGGTGTTGGAGGCTGTTCACCAGTGCAGAGAATGCTGCTTGAGGCTGTGATCGGGCGAAATCCGTCAGCTTGCATAGCTCCTGCGACCAGGTGGCCACCTAGTCCTTACAGTGTGGTGTATGGTAGATCTACACTACACTGAACAAGGCGCGGATTTGGTATGATTTTATCATTTACGTACATCATGACGTCAGCTGTATGTTGTTGTTGTTGTTGTTGTTGTTGTTGTTGTTGTTGTTGTTGTTTTGAATTGAATTCTTTATACGTTGTTGTTGTTGTTGTTGTTGTTGTTGTTGTTGTTGTTGTTGTAGTTGTAGTTGTTGTTGTTAGGCATGGGCGGGTAATGCTAGTTATTTGCTGCGATAATGCTAAAGGCAATGCTCATAATATGAGGATATAATGCCACTTATAATGCTCACACTACTCCATAATGCCAGTTTGAAAGTTGGAAAAGTCGATTTAAATTGAAAAACTTAAACAGCAATGAGGAAGCTTCCACTGACAATCCACTGAGAAGGTTGGTTTGCAACGCCAAGTCTCCGGACGAAGCCGGACGGGTTCAGATGCACGATTTTCGGAACTGGACCTAGCCAGCTTCATGCATGACACCGTTGTCGACCGGCAATTATGCTTGTAATGCCAATTTTGCATGCGAAATGGTGTTATAATACCAGCATTATGCCACCTGGAAAAAAGGGACTAAAATGCCAGCCATAATGATTGTCCGCCCATGCCTAGTTGTTGTTGTTGTTGACTTGTTGTTGTTGTTGTTGTTGTTGTTGTTGTTGTTGTTGTTGTTGTTGTTGTTGTTGTTGTTGTTGTTGTTGTTGTTGTTGTTGTTGTTGTTATTGTTGTTGTTTTTACGTTCACATTCGATATTCCCAGCTCGAAAATAATGAAGAAAGACAATGGTGTACCGGTACTAGGACAAACGTGACAACTACAGAGCAGGGGCTGCACGGAGATGCAGCCGCGGTGATGGTGCATGGTCACAGTGGCCGGGTATTGATGGCTCTGCCGATCTGAGGTCTCGGCATCGCGGCCAAAAACACGCACCAAAAAACAAAAGATAGAACTGTACGAGTCAGCAAGATGAAAAGAAAGGAAGGGTTATCACCAGTGAGTAAGGGTGCCGCTCGAGCCAAACAAGCCTGGGCTTCCTGCGCTGTGCAGCGCACATTCTCTCTCCAGCCGGCCGCACCACGGTATACAAGGCATTTGTTCGACCGGTTTATGGAGTATGCCCCCCTCATCTGGATAGGTGCTCCGGCCAGCTACCTACAACGCCTGGATCATATCCAACGCTGTGCTCTGCGAATCATCGGTCCAGGTGCACTACCTAGCCTGGCCATCCGTCGTACTGTTGCCTCGCTGGCCTGCCTATACAAGCTGCGTTACTTGCCTGGCCCTCCACAGCTGCTCTCTGTTTTGCCACCGCGCCATTTCCCCTCATCCAGCCCCAGAACTCGCAGCGAGCATGGTAGTGTCATTGACCATGACCACCATACCAGCTCCAACACCAGCTGCTTGCATCTGTCCCGCTGGCATTGAAGCGCTCGTTCCCACCCTGCAGTATTGGTGACTGGAACTCCCTCCCCGCCGCTCTTCTGTCACAGCCTCCCCACAGCAAGGGAATGCAAGCATTCAAAACTAACGGTTTATCGCCATCTGCGAAGCACAAACTGGCTCTGGGCAGTCGGCTCGCTATGATGCTGCTCTCATCTATCCCTATCTATGCACTACAACTGGCTCGGACAATCGACTCGCCATGATAAGCCATGACGATGCTCCTCTCAGTTACAACTTTAGTGCTTCGCTAGATTCAACTCAGCCGTGCAACGGGTCGTGGAACACAATGTTTTATTACAACTAAGAAAGCACTAATTCAAGTTGAGTCGGAATGGAAAAGATTACGATTGCCTCTCTATAATATGCAAGCGAATGCAGCTTATATAGGGTAGAGAGAGAAGCGTTAGCAATTGTGCGTTGCGGTAGAAAGTGCA